GTCTCCTGTAATATGCCGACGCGTGTATACATGCTCGCGGTTAATGGCGCGTTCTGCAATGGGAAGAGTGTCTCGTTACGCCAACAGGACTGCTCTGTGTTCCAAAACGCCCACTGTGGATACAGGTGTGGTCACATTCACCCACAGTACCTCAACAGATTCCTCAGCCATGCTTAATCACAAGAGATAGTTCCTCACGTGGGTACAATGTGCCACGCCCATTCTCCGTGCCCTCGCCTTCATATGGCTAGACTGTTTCTACAAGTGCAGTAAAACCTATCAACTCGCTCATTTCAACATATGCAGTAAAACCTATCCACTCGCTCATTTCAACAAATGCAGTACAACCTATTCTCTCGCTCATTTCAACATATGCAGTAAAACCTATTCACTCGCTCATTTCAACATATGCAGTAAAACCTATTCACTCGCTCATTTCAACATATGCAGTAAAACCTATTCACTCGCTCATTTCAACATATGCAGTAAAACCTATTCACTCGCTCATTTCAACATATGCAGTAAAACCTATTCTCTCGCTCATTTCAACAACTGCAGTAAAACCTATTCACTCGCTCATTTCAACATATGCAGTAAAACCTATTCACTCGCTCATTTCAACATATGCAGTAAAACCTATTCACTCGCTCATTTCAACATATGCAGTAAAACCTATTCACTCGCTCATTTCAACATATGCAGTAAAACCTATTCACTCGCTCATTTCAACATATGCAGTAAAACCTATCCACTCGCTCATTTCAACATATGCAGTAAAACCTATTCACTCGCTCATTTCAACATATGCAGTACAACCTATTCTCTCGCTCATTTCAACATATGCAGTAAAACCTATTCACTCGCTCATTTCAACATATGCAGTAAAACCTATTCACTCGCTCATTTCAACATATGCAGTAAAACCTATACACTCGCTCATTTCAACATATGCAGTACAACCTATTCACTCGCTCATTTCAACATATGCAGTAAAACCTATTCACTCGCTCATTTCAACATATGCAGTAAAACCTATTCACTTGCTCATTTTAACATATGCAGTAGAACCTATTCACTCGCTCATTTCAACATATGCAGTAAAACCTATTCACTCGCTCATTTCAACATATGCAGTAAAACCTATTCGCTCGCTCATTCCTACAACTGCAGTAAAATCTATTCACTCACTCATTCATTTTTACGAGTGCAGTAAAACCTTTTCACTCATGTATGCAAGTGTCGTAAAACCTGTTTACTTACTCGGACTGATGGACACCAGTGAAATTCCATGAGAACACCTAATCAGTACTTCGATCTATATACCAACACATCATACATTCATACCAGTACCTATAGTTCAATATTTTGGTAAATAGAACCTGCTGAGCTTTCGGATTTGGGTTTTGACATTGAAACATACCCGTGAAGATCCGGGGTAGAATTGGTCTTCAGCAACCCATGCTTTGTCGTAAGAGGCGACTAACGGGATCGGGTTTTCAGGCTCGCTGACTTGGTTGAGGCATGTCATCGTATCCCAATTGCGTGGATCGATGCTCATGATGTCAATCACTGGATTGTCTGTCAAGACTCGATTATTTACAGACCACCGTCATATAGCTGGAATATTGCTGAGTGTGGCGTTAAACAACAAACAAACAAAACATAGATACATAGAATCAGACCTGCATCACTTCACCTGACAAGTCGTGTGATGAATTCGGTTTATATACATAACACAATAACGGAATATTGCCAATCTCATTAAAATTAGATCTTAGTTCTCCTACCACTAAACAAAGATCTGAGGACATCCCATTACGGTTCACGACAGAACGACCTTTCATCCGACCAATCAGTGCGTCGTTTACCAGATCGGGAAAGTGACAGTCGGAATGTGTTTTCTAATCATGCAATCTCGAAAAGGTTAACACGGGGTATTCCGAACGGCAATTACGGGATGTACGACTGATTCCGTCAAAATCATCGTCTATCTCTCGCTTCAGCTGGTTAAACATTTAAGAGGAAGAAACTCTCCATATCCCAAAAATGTTCTTTTGTGTAGTATTCAAATCGTGAATCGAGAACTTTCTCTTAATATTTTTCAAAGCGTAATCTGGAATGGAAATCGCCAGTTTGAAACAAATGCCGTAAAGCTGCTTCCTGATTGGCTAATCACTTCTTGTTAACAATTTCAATGATCAGTCGAAGTTCGTCATTTTCACGTGACCTGTAATTGGATGTCCTCAGATCTTTGTGGAACGGTAGCAAGCAATAATTCTGATTATAATGATATCGATAATATTGCTGACAGCCCTCGTGATATAGATGAAATGTTGCTGACTACAAGTCGCCGTGATATAGCAGGAATACTGCTGACTACAGGCCGCCGTGACATAGCAGGAATATTGCTGACTACAGGCCGCCGTGACATAGCAGGAATATTGCTGACTCCAGGCCGCCGTGATATAGCAGGAATACTGCTGACTACGGGCCGCCGTGATAGAAGCAGGAATATTGCTGACTACGGGCCGCCGTGATAAAAGCAGGAATATTGCTGACTACAGGCCGCCGTGATAAAAGCAGAAATATTGCTGACTGCAGGCCGCCGTGATATAGCAGGAATATTGCTGACTGCAGGCCGCCGTGACATAGCAGGAATATTGCTGACTACAGGCCGCCGTGATATAGCAGGAATATTGCTGACTACAGGCCGCCGTGATATAAGCAGGAATACTGCTGACTGCAGGCCGCCGTGATATAAACAGGAATATTGCTGACTGCCTGTCTCCCATAACCTAGAGAACAAATATAAAAGGAACCCCAGTCAGTCCAGAATGATTAAGCAAGTCCTGAAATTAAGCAGTGTTCTGGGCTCTATTTGTATTATATTTTAAAGACATAAAAAAAAATAAAAAAATAAAAAAATCTGAGACTGAATGTTAGTCAGCCGCCATGATGTAGCTGGAATATTGCTGACTACAGACTGCGGCAGGGAACAGCAAACACACGCAGTACCCATGCTGTAACCAGCTGGGCCGGTGGCGAGACCCGGATGATTGTACGTGCGCCTCACCTCTTCCCGTCATACACACTGAAAGCCAAGACACCGCCTGAGAAGTGATAGTGATATGTTTGACACTGTTAAGTGCACAGTAAATCTGGTAATCACCATCAGAAATCAAAGTTTTGTGAACACATTTCATTTGTTGAATAAGGTCAAAAACATTGCAAAAGGTCAAGTCAATGAAATAAGTTCAAGGGGGTCCTACAGGAAAGTCACAGGAAACACGGCTCTGTGATGACTTGTCGGTCTCTCAGGCAGTGTTCGAAATATGCGCCTGCCCGTAGGCCCGTGACAGGTAGAGTTCAGGTCGGGCCCTTCGTTTCAAATTTGTATGGATCCTTATGGTTGCAATAAATTTAAGTGTCGATTCATTTCCCACAATAAACTACGATTTTGAAACTATGGCCTAAAGTTGGTTGGTTTGTTGTTTTACGCCGCACTTTTTACGCGATATTCCAGCTAAATGACGGCGGTCTGTAAATAATCGAGTCCCGTCGAGACAGTCCAGTGATTGATATCATGAGCATCGATCATGCAATTGGGATCGATGACATGCATCGACCAAGTCAACGAGGTTGACCACCCGATCCCGTTAGTCGCCTTTTTTACAAGCATAGTCGCCTATTACGGCAAGCATGGGTTGCTGAAGACCTATTCTACCCCGGATCTTCACGGGTCCTATGGCCTAAAGAGTTTATAAAGGGCACGCAGCGTGTAAAGGCTGTGTGTCAGGCAGCCTGACATTTTAAAAAAAAATTAAACGCTACTCCCAGACCCCAAAGTATAAAATTTAAAAACAAATCCAACGCAAGGCAGTGTTTGGCAAGCCTAGATATGCCTCCGCTCTACAATTAAGCATTGGGTTTAGTTTGGATTTGACATAATTATATTTTGTGTAAATGCGTAAATGCAGGCATCCGGCTCTACTCCCTCTGAACATGATGGTTCCTCCCATTCTTCTCCCTCTGTACATGCAGGCCCCTCCCATTCTTCTCCCTCTGTACATGCAGGCCCCTCCCACTCTTCTCTCGCTGTAAATTAAGGCCTGTCCCACTCTTCTCTCACTGTACATGCAGGCCCCTCCTACTCTTCGCATATGCATGCCCCTCCCACTCTTCTCTCACTGTACATGCATGCCCTTCCCATTCTTATCCCTCTTTATAAGCAGGTTCCTCCCACTCTTCTCTCACTGTACCTGCAGACACCTCCCACTCTTCTCTCACTATACATGCAGGCCCCTCCCACTCCTCTCTCACTGTACATGCAGGCCCCTCCCACTCCTCTCTCACTATACATGCAGACACCTCCCACTCTTCTCCCTCTGTACATGCAGGCCCCTCCCACTCTTCTCTCACTATACATGCAGACACCTCCCACTCTTCTCTCACTATACATGCAGGCCCCTCCCACTCCTCTCTCACTGTACATGCAGACACCTCCCACTCTTCTCTCACTATACATGCAGGCCCCTCCCATTCCTCTCTCACTGTACATGCAGGCCCCTCCCACTCCTCTCTCACTGTACATGCAGACACCTCCCACTCTTCTCTCACTATACATGCAGACACCTCCCACTCTTCTCTCACTATACATGCAGGCCCCTCCCACTCCTCTCTCACTGTACATGCAGGCCCCTCCCACTCCTCTCTCACTGTACATGCAGACACCTCCCACTCTTCTCCCTCTGTACATGCAGGCCCCTCCCACTCTTCTCTCACTGTACATGCAGGCCCCTCCCATTCCTCTCTCACTGTACATGCAGGCCCCTGCCACTCTTCTCTCACTGTACCTGCAGCCACCTCCCATTCCTCTCTCACTGTACATGCAGGCCCCTACCACTTCTATCCCTCTTATAAGTAGGCTACTCCCACTCTTCTCCTTGGTACCACTCTGTCAGGTCATTCTTGCAACAACACAGAATAGACAAGCAAAAGAAAAAGGACCATCATATTTATTGCTTTTTCTGAAAGACATAGGTACAAAATTCTCACCAAATAATCTATAACTAATACACAGTAGCTATTTGCTGTCCTTGTTTAAAAATCAATCTTTGGACTACAACTATTACAACCACATTTAAACATAGACTTACAACAGTCTTAGGGCAGTGACTGCTTCGTGGCACTGGGCCCATGTGTAAAAACTGACTGGCCTGAAGAGTTTATTAAGGGCCTGCAGGGATGTGTTAGGGATGTGTGTCCTGATGGTAGCCTGGCATTTTCTTATTTCACACACCGTTCCCAGACCCTAGAGAATAAATTAAAGAATATATCCAACTTGAGTCAGTGATTTGGCAAGTCTAGATATCCCTCCTCTCTATAATTAAGCATTGGGCTTGGATTTGATATTTTATTTTGTAAATATATGTTACACAAATACATTATATTATATTTTGTTAATATATATTTTACACAGTTAGCAATGACGTCATAGCTAAAAAAAGTTACAGCATTGGATCTCGAATGATGCGGTACTGCCCATGTGTTAAAACTGACCTCACACTGTAAATATCTTTTTTGCCTAGTGTCATTTGTAAGACTTTAACTATTCCTCCTTATATTCGACTCAAGGATATGACACATAACATGCTTCATCTACGAAGGGATGATCCCAAACCTGATATACTGTCAACTGTCGTCCATTATACATTCCGATATGCCTCTCACATTTAGGATATTTGTAAAACACATCAAAAGATTCTGTCACAAAAAAGAAACATGCCTTACAGCCTTTCATCTCAAACGTTGCACAGACATATTTGTTCTCCATCTTGCCTCAACAAAGACTTCACTTGAATCAAAATGATATTTCCCCAACCCTAAAAAAAGGAACCACAAAAAATTGGATGCATATTAAACACAAGAAAATAAATACTAGGCACAAAACAGTAATAAGTTAGTTACTGAATTTCTCATAGATATACCCTCTTACTCCCATGTGCCTTTATGTAGTCTCTGAATTTCTCATAGATATACCCTCTTACTCCCATGTGCCTTTATGTAGTCTCTGAATTTCTCATAGATATATCCTCTTACTCCATGTGCCTTTATGTAGTCACTAAATTTCTCATAGATATACCCTCTTACTCCCATGTGCCTTTATGTAGTCACTAAATTTCTCATAGATATACCCTCTTACTCCCATGTACCTTCATGTAGTCACTGAACTTCTCATATATATACCCTCTTACTCCATGTGCCTTTATGTAGTCTCTGAATTTCTCATAGATATACCCTCTTATCTAATAATATAAAACATTTTATTCTTGACAATGTGTTGGTAGATTTGAACCCAGTCCAAGATAAATCAGGCATCTAAACATCACACTGAACCAAGGTTGGTATGCAGACGCATACATGGTACACAGCAGTCCTTGTACACCACACAAACTACAACACGCTGAGGCTAAAGCTACATCTGACCCAATATCAGTAAGTTGGGTAACTGTATTGCATTATCGTGCATTATCACTGTAACAATGGAAATATGGAACTGAAGACAAGACCCAGTCCTTCCTACACTGGTATCTCTCTCCATGAATAAAACATGTCACACACATGTGTCTGTCTCCATGAATAGATACACACTCATATTCATATGCAAGTCACACACAGTCTCCATGAATAGATAACCACTCATATTGACATGCACTTCACACACTGGTGTCGTTTTCCATGAATGGATACACACTAATATTGACATGCACTTCACACACTGGTGTCGTATACCATGAATGGATACACACCAATATTGACATGCACTTCACACACTGGTGTCGTTTTCCATGAATGGATAATCACCAATATTGACATGCACTTCACACACTGGTGTCGTTTTCGATGAATGGATACACACTCATATTGACATGCACTTCACACACTGGTGTCGTTTTCGATGAATGGATACACACTCATATTGACATGCACTTCACACACTGGTGTCGTTTTCCATGAATGGATACACACCAATATTGACATGCACTTCACACACTGGTGTCGTATACCATGAATGGATACACACCAATATTGACATGCACTTCAACCGCCGTCATATAGCTGGAATATTGCTGAGTGCGGCGTTAAACAAAAAACAACAACCATGCACTTCATATACAGCAGTGTTAGAAATTGGCACTAGTCCTGTAGTACTTGCCAATAGATAAGGTATCCTAAGGACTAGAAGAAATATACCCTTTTTAAGGGTTTTGATTTATGTTATCCTTATAGGGAGTAATCACCAACGCTGTATACTGGCGTCTGTTGCCATCAAAACAAGCATGCTGCGTCCCATGTATCAAAGCATGACATGTGAATAGAAGAGAAAAGATTAATGTAGGTGTTGTTTTTCCCAAATCTGCCAAGAGGCACTCAGTGTTTAGCTGTGCCCTTTGGGATCTAAGAGTGTCAACAAGAAGAATATCTTTCAAGAAATATAAAATGTTACTTAAAATTCTGTCCATTACACATTTTCATATGTTCATCATTTCTCACTTGTTTGTCTGCATAAATATAGACCACTGCGTTGTCTGTTTACATTACCGGTATAATGAATCCTGAACCAGAACTCTCACATTCATAAAACCAAATTCATCAACATTTCAAACAAAGGTCCTCAGAAGAATCAGAATTCTGTGAAATGCCCTCTGATTTGATTATTTCCTACTTGGTATGTTATACATAAAAGCTTAAAATATGGGTCATACGTGTCACTTTTGTACCATCTTCCCGAGGCAAGTGCATCCACCAGCCTTTTTATCAAAGTCTTGTTTCCACACTTGCCACATCAAGCCCACTTTCCTGTGCTCAATATGATTGGACTATTGCCGACATGAATAGCCCAATCAGAGAACGTTTCATAAAATCAACATTCCTGACTGAACACCTTTGTATGAACATGATGAAGGTGATTTACTGTTGCCTGTCTTCGTTGGCACGGCTATGTCTTTTTCATCCTTTAAACCCCCCAACGATTGCCTATTTTTTGTGTCAGGATGAAATCGTGAATGTTTTTGTTATCTGATTGACTAGGTTGTCGCCTATGGTAGTGCCATCTTTTTGAAGCTTGTCAGATAAGAACAGCGATCTGATTGGATATTGCGTTTTCATTACAAGTAGCATAACTCGTCATCTTATACTAGGTGGCGCCAGGGTCGAGCCAAGAAAAGTGGCCTTGATGTGGCAAGGGTAGAAACTAGGCTTTGATATAGGCTAGTGGACTTGCTTGCCTCGGGAAGATGCTATTGTTCAAACTGAGATTGATTCAATGATCACAACCACCAACAATCTTTTCAAACCAATCTTCAATATAACACCCTGTTTGTATAAACATGTATAAAAGAGCCATTTTATGATATATTTACCAGCCATGCAGAAAAGTACTGGTATGCACCTTGAGATAATCATCACACAGATGTTGTATTATGGACATATTGTATGTTGTACACGCAGTACAATGTAAACATCTGTATGTGTGAAGCTGAGATAATCATCACACAGATGTTGTATTATGGACATGTTGTATGTTGTACATGCAGTACAATGTAAACATCCGTATGTCCTATTCACAAATGAACATGACCAAAATAAGGCTCCAGCCACAGCAAGCACTTATCCTGTGGAATCCAGAATTGGGAGTATGCCAAATACTCCAGAACACCGATCAGGCATCCACTGAGAACATCTAGGACATGATGACGTCCTAGCATCACACGCGATAGACTCACACATGCGGACCAGGTCAGAATCAGGGTCATTGGGAGTTGGTTGATCAGCACACGTTCAATGTAGAAACACGCAAGCATGGCCGCTCTAGTCGTGTGACCAGAGGGGAAGGAGTAGTGGTCGATGGAAACCGTAGCAAACATGTCCATCTGATTGTTGGCGGGACGTGGACGTTGAACAAGCATCTTCAACACTGCCACAATCACCAGGTCAAAGATGAGTGCTGAAACATCAGATGTAGGAAAAGTTCTTTTGGTAATAATCAAATTGTCAATAGGCATAATACCTACAGCCTGGATAAACATGAAGGCTCGAGTAACTGGAGGTGGCAGAAGTCAAACAACTTAAAAAGTAGACTTTTCATAGTAATTGTCATGAGGCAGTTGACAATTGCCATGTTTAAATAGGGGCGGTCGGTAGCCTAGTGGTTAACACGTTCGCTCGTCACGCCGAAGACCCAGGTTCGATTCCCAACATGGGTACAATGTGTGAAGCCCATTTCTGGTGTCCTCCGCTGTGATATTGCTGGAATATTGCTAAAAGCGGCGTTAAACCATACTCACTGACTCACCCCATATTTAAATATACCCAATACCACTCTTGCATCAGATTAGTTGATTACATTTGTATGCACAAGCAATATAAAGAAGACACAATGTGAAGGATTTCTCAAAAATATTCATCTGAAAGAAATCTCTGGTGTTATTGAAACAAAAACAAACATGAACACTAAGGAATATACTTTTCTTTTTTAAATGTCTGGTATTATCAGCTTCTTATGTATTGCAATATTTTCCATATGCAAATTTTCTGATATTTATACCCAGTTCATAGCATGCATATAAACAGCTTTGATGTCCACATTTAGATACTCTATTGACCACCACACACATTGTATACAACGGTCATTGGTCAACGGTTCTCATTGAAGTAAACATATGACAAATATTAGCCTAGTTAGCAGAGAAACAATATTCAGAAATACTTTCTACATGCTACAGCTTGATGTTTTCCTACCTAGAAAGAGGTTAACTGAAAGTTCAACATCTTCTGGTTTGTGGACACAGACAAACCAAATTACTGTCCCAATCAACCAAGGCACGCCGTGACAGCTGATCTCTAAAACTTTCATCAAGGGCCGAAGTTGACCTAAGGCCGAGTTCTGTGTCGCACAAAGGCCGAATGCTTTTGTACACCGCCGGTCGTACTTGAGAATGGTTTCCCATGGTGACTTTGTTAAATTGCGTGATCGGTTCTTTCTATCGGTTTCTGCAGATCTAGCTTGTCGCCTGCGTGCACTCATTGTGGTAATTTGTGTGGTTACACGAAGCTTTTGATGATCAGGAAGTGAGATTCAGTTCCTTCTCCAAAGCAGACAGCTGACTTCCTGAGATAATTTGCCGAACTCTGTACAGCGATACTGCCGTTCTATTCGATACTTTACGAATGGTAACACGCGCTGCGATAGAGCAATTGATGACGCACTAAATATACTACTATCCTTCTACAAATGAATATTAGCTGATTAATAACGTAGGCACACGTCCAATATACGCTGTTTATATGTCTATGGTTGTTTATATGTTATATGAAATACAATCACTTGTAAATATTTGTTCTATGATTTAAAACTTGATTAGTTATCACGACAACCATATATTTTCACAACAACTACGAAACTGATAGTTGTGACGTTTCAGTTATTACTCTCTAACCATAAATAATACAGATACTTTACTGTTGCATATTGTCAAAAGAAAAGCAACTAACTAATAATTTAATCTATAGCTTGCAATGAAGATACTGTTAATATTTTCACTCTATTTTCTTAATCAAGATTAAACGATATGAAGAAAATGAAATATATAACAAAATCACTTTGGTGTCGGGGCTATCTCCTTGTCAACATAACAACAGTAGCAGACGCTCCAAATTTGAAATGGATGAAAATACTCATAAGCGTCATAATGGATCCCGAGAACCATAAACAAGTGCATCGGATCGTAATATCAGAAGACGGCAACATCAGTCAACGAAAATCAGGCTTTGGGTATTTTTCAAACAGCCCAGGTGGCGATTAAAAACCAGCGTGGGGTTATTTCCCATGGATTTCGCCGAAGGAGACATGGGTACAGCTGGGAGCTCAAACAAGAAACTGTCCAATATATCCGTTTCAGCGCCCAAAGGGGTTCCTAGTAAAATCAAAATCGTGAATATTGATACTAGAATCGATAATGAAGCAACGCAGATCGACGAGAATTCTCCGGCTGTTCTGAAATACAGAACTCCGAATTTCAGGTTTGTATAGGCCAAAATGAGGTAGCCTATATATTTTGGACCCGTGTTTTATATATCCAGATTGAATATGTAAGTTATTGGGTAGAATGTACTTTGTCGGTGTATTATTCACAAAACTGTTGGTGGCGGCGGCAATTTAAAAATAAAACGTCAACAATCTTGCAGCCATGAACATTTGCAGCTAGAGTGTCTCACATGCAGTCCCTTAACCATATTATTTTAACTTCCGCCTAGCCTTACTGTAATGCTATCGCCCTAAATGATGCAAGTTTAGACTTTCCACAGCTGAATCTCCCATCTAAGTCGGGCTTATTTTCAATTTAAATGGAGTTGTTTGTTTCTATCAAAATTGTATATTTTAGTGACTAAGCCTTTGTCTAAAGTAAAGTCTGGAATTGGTGACATTTTCGGTGCATGATTTGTGACAGGCGAGCCTTGACATAAGCTCACTTTGAAGGTGTTATTGGACTTGTTCATATGCAAAGGTAAAGGTGTAATTTGCTATCGGCAAACTGCACTGGAAACTAACTGCACTGTACAAAGTACACTGTAGGCAACAAGCGAAGGAGCCTCAGTTTCACACAATACACTATATAGTCTGTCATCCAGACCCTGAAACAAAAATATCCAATACAGCCCATGCAAGTCTTTAATGTTTGGCAAGTCTAGATTACTGCAGTTTCTTAAAACGATGAAAGTTTCTGGGCTCCTTTTTATTATATTTCATAACTATAATTTAACAACTGTTTTTTTCTGTAAAATATGTTCATTTCAGAGACTAGATGTTAGTCTAACAAGGCACTTGAATAACAACGTGCAGACCTAAACAGAAATGGACCCCTGGCGTGGATGAAATTACCCCTTAATAAGCTGAATGAGAGGAATTCTGGGGCAGAAATGGGCCCACATAGGGTCTGTGATTTCGTTGACCGAGCAGTATGGAGTGTATAGCTGTCGTTGAATTCTGACACGGGGTGTTTCAGGGCAAGTGCAAGGATTGAGATGGCGCCACTGTCCCACACTGAGACATGGAAGGTGGGCTGGATCCAGGCCTGTACAGATATGCTCTTCCACAACCAGTACGGCCAGGAGGGACAGTAAGTATTTCGACCCCTGTATCCATACTCCAATGGGAGTCACGGACTGGGGGAAGTCTCCAGCTGGACTAACATTTAGTCCAAGAAATAAAGTTATCATATTCAAATATATATGATTATATATATGTAATAATATCTGCAAAAAAAGAAATAATATCCAAATGAGCCTGGAACAATGCTTAATTTCAAGGACTAACCAAATCTGTAAGGCTCTATTTGTTGGAATTTCTGTAATCTTGTCAGTGTCAACCTTCATTTCTGCTCCTCTGCCAGCATATGTCTGACCACACCCAGTCACCTCCCTTTGAATGCCTCCTCTAAGACTGCTGCTTTTGAGCTCTTCGTGTTTTCGAACTCTTTGTATAAATATGATGCAGTTTCAAATATTAGCGATTTTAAAATTCCAGTTGATGAACAAAATAACACTTCTTTTCCATTCAGGAACAACTCAATAACTCTTTACTGATATTTTCTGCTTAATATTGAACTTACAATGTGCAGTCAGAATTGTCTTTTCTACGGTGCTAGATTCAGTTGCAATTATATCTAGAGCTGAGGCAATATCGACTTGCCAAATCATTACAGATCTGAGTTGGATTAGTTTTCTCTTGGGTCTGGGAGACAGACTAGTCCTCAGCACTCCCTTGTTTGTAAGAAGAGGTTCGATTGGTCAGTCTGGGTGATTTGGGTGATACCCCGACGGCGTGGGACGTTGCGCATATCAGCCATCGTTTGTCGGGCACAGACATGCTTTACAGGCCGCCGTGACATAATTGGAATATTTCTGACTGCACAGTTAAACAAAATACACTCACTCTTTCTTTCAAGGGAATTCATATATATTCAATGGGAATAATCTATTCATAGTTAAAACCAGGGTACCAGAGGTACCGAAACTCACTTTTATTTAAAGATTTAGAACCTGAGTGGCATGGATGTACTAAAAGCACCTAAATTGTACTAAAAGTAAAAACATACTATCCAAAACATGGATGTGACATACATGTGATGAGTTTTCACTAATATTTTTCAAGTTTTCTGATTTCTTTCTGACATTATTACTGATTAAGTTGATGTCTTTCTTATGTAAAGTTCCTGAAACCTAACCTTGTATTACTTAGTCTTTTGCTCAAAACACTTTTTTGCATAACTTAAACATGTTTAATAAATCAAAATACGAGTATAAAGTAAAGGCTTTTTGTACTCAGGAAATGGTATATTCAATTCAAACAAAGCGCATGCGATTCCACCTTTGTATGAACTTCAAAGCAGTGGTATTTTGAATAGTTGCCATTTTTAATCATCCAATTTATCATAATTTGAGTTTCTTCAAAACTGTTGTTGGATTTTCGTGAATCAAGTACGTGATACACATTTTGTTACCAAAGAAATATTCACAACTTTGCAATAACAAGCAATATGTCCAACAATTTTGTGGGAAACCGAAGAGCTGTCCCTAAGGTTTTATTCTTGTCTCAATTTAACTGTGGCTGCGGTCAGTTTGAATTTTTTACAATGAAAAGTATATATGGTTGTAATAGCTAAAGCAGAGATGTATCCAGTAATGTTGATGACGTGTATGACATGATGGTACATGTTTCTCCTGTGTGTAGCACGAGCTGGGAGTTCCCCGAGCTGACAAGCGGCAAGCAGGTGATGATCAGCGACTGTGATGGTCGACACTACCCTTGGTACGGCTCCCGCAACGAGACCGCCATAATCAGGGGACCCTGCAAGAGCTTCCAGACTGCCACCATCACCATGAATGACAACTTCCACCCGCACGTTACGTGGCGTAATCCTGCTAACCGGCACCAAGTGGAACCAAACCTCACGCACATCATGCGTGACCAGAGCTTCTACGTGTGGCTCGTAGCCTGGAACCAGACAGCCAGCAAGTCATACATCCTCGCCACCATCAGATGGGGCATGCAGCTCGAGATCGATGTCCAGCCTCACAGCGAGCTGGGAAAGAGAGCTCGACTCATAAGCAACCCCATTGCCAAACAGCCTCAGATCCTGGACAAGAATGTGCCCATCCCCCGCTGTGCACTTGTGCCCCCTAACGCCAACAGCGCGCAGATGTTGGTCTGGCGGCCAGTACGGGGCAAGCCCGTGTGCATCATTCCCCCAGTCTGGTCACCAAACGACCCTGTGGTCAAGTGTGACAGCAAGCTTTAGTCAACTCTCACATGGGTGGTCCTCAGCAATGACCAATCCCTCTTTTACAGACTTTATATTTGTGAACGATCCAGTGTGCATGAACTGGTTGCTTTTATACATTCTGCATGATATTAATAAGGTTCCTTTTGCCATGTTATTGAGAACAGGCTGATTTCCATTTTATCTTGTGTTCATCAGTATCTAGGTATTTTTAGAAATGGAGTGTTAGTATCAGGGACACACAGCAGGCTAAAGAATTAAAAACACACAATCACTAATCCCTGACATGGCTTCCACCATAACTGTGGACATATATATACACGATGGAAGAATACTGCAGCCATATTTCACCTGTTACATGTGTAACGTTTTAAGAACTTTCTACTTTCAATTTGTATAGGGTCTTTTCAAACATTTTATAGATATTTTTAACTTTTGATATGAATGTATAATTCTTAAGGATTCTTTACTAATATTCACAGGTTTAATCCATTGTTGTTTAGAATACAGGTAGTTAGTAGGCAAGTGCAATTTCCATAACCTGGTCTTGGACAAGGTGCAGCAAGATGTAAATATCAGTAGAAAACCACTCCTAGTCAGAATTAAGCTGCCAAAGGTTTATTTACATATTTGTTTCGTTTTGTTTACTCACCATGTATTTATCATTTTATACATGTATTTGCAGTTGAAATAAAATCTGTTTTTTACAGTGTTTCTTTGATCTGTTAAACAGAAAATGCCAAGAATTCTGTTTTGTGGAAAGCCTTGGGGTCCATGTGTGTTCAGTATAATTGCTTCATTACCACTGCTGAGATCTCTGCCCAGGGATGCTGCCTGGATGACTGGGATAGCTTGGCACAGGGATGCTGCCTGGATGTTGTAATGCAGGGGCCAAACAATCAGCCTGCCTTATCTCCCACCCCAACCTACCCCACCAGGTGCCATCTAGGGAAAGCTTTATATCAGACAATTATACAGTCCCCCTCTAAACTCTGGTGTAAGAATCTTTCAAAACATAATCTGTGTTGTGTTTAAGCTCCATATATACCCATCTATAACAAAACTTAGTGAATAAGTGAAAGAAAGCACAATAAATGAAGGCATCTGCAAGACATAAATTTCTTTTGCATGACAACTAACAAGACTACCAAGTAAACAATGTCATAAGAGTATGGGAAATATGACAGTCTGTTAATGTATGGGTGTTACCACAATCTGTGTTAATGTTTCCGTATGGAAGTTACATCTGTCAGTCTATGTTAAAGGGCAAGTTCACACGGAAATGAACCAATTTTTCTTGTACTTTTTCCACATTAAAAGTGTTAACATAGAAGTGTCATAGACAAAAATATAAAAACATCATATTTAATTAACATATTTTTTGCATTAAAACGATTTATATTTTTCACATTTACCAAGTGTTCTATTTCCATAACAAAAACACCATGGCTTATGCCCCTTGCAATATGACGTCATTGGTGCCAATTGACAAACATTATGACGTCATCATGCTTTGTTAGAGCCGCTTCACGTGGTGTAGGTACAGTTTTGTGATTCTAGCGTCTCAGATGCCAGCCAGAATTGTGTCACCACTGCGCCGGAGTGTGTCGTAGACCATGTTGTTTTCACCGCAAACTGGTCCTTGATATCTTTTGCGTTGAGAATAGACAGGGACCCAGTTGAATTGGCACCAATTACGTCATAATCTAAGGGGGATAACTCAGGCCTATTTCGCTCGTAAAACGAAGGCCTCATAACGATATATCATTTTAACACTATTGTGAGCTTCCTACGTTCACTGTGAAAAAAAATGAGCGTATATTTTCAAACACAGATACTAACTAATTCTAAAATTGCGTTTTGTTTAGAAAAAGAAAGAAAGTGATTTTTGCGTGTACACTTCCCCTTTAATGTATGGGAGTTACAACAGTCAGTCTATGTTAATGTATGGGAGTTACAACAGTCAGTCTATGTTAATGTTTGGGAGTTACAACAGTTAACGTTCCTGTATAGGAGTTACAACAGTTAATGTTCCTGAATGGGAGTTACAACAGTCAGTCTATGTTAATGTTTGGGAGTTACAACAGTTAATGTTCCTGTATGGGAGTTACAACAGTCAGTCTATGTTAATGTTTAAGAGGGACAACAGTCAGTCTATGTTAATGTTTGGGAGTTACAACAGTTAACGTTCCTGTATGGGAGTTACAACAGTCTGTCTATGTTAATGTGTGGGAGTTACAACAGTTAATGTTCCTGTATGGGAGTTACAACAGTCAGTCTATGTTAATGTTTAAGAGGGACAACAGTCAGTCTATGTTAATGTTTGGGAGTTACAACAGTTAACGTTCCTGTATAGGAGTTACAACAGTCAGTCTATGTTAATGTTTGGGAGTTACAACAGTCAGTCTCTGTTAATGTATGGGAGTTACAACAGTTAACGTTCCTGTATAGGAGTTACAACAGTTAATGTTCCTGTATGGGAGTTACAACAGTCAATCTCTGTTAATGTATGGGAGTTACAACAGTCAGTCTATGTTAATGTATGGGAGTTACAACAGTCAGTCTATGTTAATGTTTGGGAGTTACCACAGTTAATGTTCCTGTATGGGAGTTACAACAGTCAGTCTATGTTAATGTAGGGGAGTTACAACAGTCAGTCTATGTTAATGTAGGGGAGTTACCACAGTTAATGTTCCTGTATGGGAGTTACAACAGTCAGTCTATGTTAATGTATGGGAGTTACCACAGTTAATGTTCCTGTATGGGAGTTACAACAGTCTGTGCGTGTTCTAGTATGTGTCGTGACAGCTGCAACACTCCTGTGGGATGGGACAATACAATACATATAAGTACACAAAACCTGCTTTAACATAATAATCTTTTTATTTCAGTAGAAAATTCATTTCAACATTTCACATTGACTGTAATAGAAGTAGGTCCAAAACATATCCTTGCAGTCTCTGTTATCCCACTTGTAGGCATGCAGTCACGTGAGACACACATCTGTACATCCTGTCTAGCCTCTGTAGCTGGTGAACTGTGGACTGGACCTGGAAAGAGAAAAGATTTGACACTTGTTTTTTACAACTCTCCCATCTTTTACATGGTCACTTCTGGCCCCTCATCTGATGTGTTAATAAGCTTATAATGAGACACAATGTCATGATTACTACTACATTACCAAATCACTTGACCCGTGAAGATTCGGGGTAGAATGGTCTTCAGCAACCCATCCTTGCCGTAAAAGGCGACTATACTATGCTTGTCGTAAGAGGCCACAAACGGGATCGGGTGGTCAGGCTCACTGACTTGGTTGAAGCATGTCATCGATCCCAATTGCGTGGATCGATGCTCATGATATCAATCACTGGATTGTCTGGTCCAGACTCAATTATTTACAGACAGCAGTCATTTGGCTGAAATATTGCTGAGTGCGGCGTAAAACAACAAACCATGTATAGGGTTGAGACAATACAAGTAATGAAACAATACATATGATAGCTAGGTCAAAGAATGACACAACCTGATGATGAAAGATACTTGGTCCAGAGCTGACGTTTTATTGAAACAAATGAAAAAAACCCAGCCAATCGCTGCAAACTGCCACAATAAGAAGCATACTGATAGCTACTGAAAATAATGCCAAGTGACTAGTTCCGGCTAGTAGAGTCAAGGGCCCAGGGTGATGAGGAATGGTACACTGTGCCAGGTTTCATGGAGACTGGCTGCCATGTGTGAGGGAAGCAGCAGCTGGTATGAGGCTCCTTGCAGGTCTTTCGAGTTACCATGGTTACATACCTGGTATTGAAGCGGTCTACCCTATAATAGTTAGGGGTGGGACCAAATTGATGCATCATGATAGGCCGAGTTTTCATACTACTGAAGTATCAGAAGTTGATATATTGATACAATATGATCTGGACTATCATTAGCTGAACTTACTTGACCGCAACAAATGTTACTACACTCTGGCTTCAGACTAGTGGCTAATGTCTGCACCACCTACCCTGAACATCTGACAGACTGACATAACTCCTTCATCTGAGTTGACCTCATCGTACACGCCTCTCACATGTGATAGTGTCTTACCCAAAGTTTCCCCCAGTTCCAGGCTGAGGACTCCCAAATCCACCTCCTTGCTGTGTGGCTCCAAATCCACCTCCTTGCTGCGTGGCACCAAATCCACCCCCTTGCTGTGTGGCACCAAATCCACCAGTGGGTTGAGTTGCTCCAAATCCACCAGTGGGTTGAGTTGCTCCAAATCCACCTCCTGCAGGGCTACCAAATCCTCCTGCTGGACTCCCAAATCCTCCTGCTGGACTCCCAAATCCCCCTGCAGTATTCCCAAATCCTCCTGCGGCTGCACCGAAGCCTCCTCCTGTACTTGTTGCTAGGTTACCAAATGATGGTGCACTGGACTGAGCTATGTTTCCAAATGTTGGACTGTTCCCACTGGCAAAACTGAAACAAAAGTCAAACATCAGAAGTCTTGTATCATACTGTGAGCCCCACACACAACTTGTACCATACTTTGACCCAGAAGACAACTTGTATCATACTGTGAGCCCCACACACAACTTGTACCATACTTTGACCCAGAAGACAACTTGTATCATACTGTGAGCCCCACACACAACTTGTACCATACTTTGACCCAGAAGTCAACTTGTATCATACTGTGAGCCCCACACACAACCTGTACCATACTTTGACCCAGAAGACAACTTGTATCATACTGTGAGCCTAACACACAACTTGTTCCATACTTTGACCCAGAAGACAACTTGTATCATACTGCGAGCCAGAAGACAACTTGTATAACTTTTGATGTTTGTTTTACTTCGTCAGTGCTTCAGTTTTAAGGTTCAAATACCACATGTTTCAGGAAGAATTCCATCTTGATGGAGTATGAAGTTATGGCTCTTTAAAGTCATTAAAATTATATGAGACCCACAGACAACATTTATCATACTGTGAGCCCCACAGTATCACAACTTGTATCATACTGTGACCCCGAAGACCACTTGTATCATACTGTGTGAAGCAGAAGACAACTTGTATCATACTGTCACCCTGAAGACCACTTGTATCATACTGTGACCCAGAAGACCACTTGTATCATACTGTGTGACCTTGAAGACCACTTGTATTATAATGTGACCCTGAAGACCACTTGTATCATAATGTGACCCAGAAGACCACTTGTATCATACTGTGTGACCGAGAAGACCACTTGTATCATACTGTGACCCAGAAGACCACTTGTATCATACTGTGTGACCCAGAAGACCACTTGTATCATACTGTGTGACCCAGAAGACCACTTGTATCATACTGTGACCCTGAAGACCACTTCTTTCATACTGTGTACCCCGAAGACCACTTGTATCATACTGTGTGACCCAGAAGACCACTTGTATCATACTGTGACCCAGAAGACCACTTGTATCATACAGTGTGACCCCGAAGACCACTTGTATTATAATGTGACCCTGAAGACCACTTGTATCATAATGTGACCCAGAAGACCACTTGTATCATACTGTGTGACCGAGAAGACCACTTGTATCATACTGTGACCCAGAAGACCACTTGTATCATACTGTGTGACCCAGAAGACCACTTGTATCATACTGTGTGACCCAGAAGACCACTTGTATCATACTGTGACCCTGAAGACCACTTCTTTCATACTGTGTACCCCGAAGACCACTTGTATCATACTGTGTGACCCAGAAGACCACTTGTATCATACTGTGACCCAGAAGACCACTTGTATCATACAGTGTGACCCCGAAGACAACTTGTATCATACTGTGATCATCATGCAGTAAACCATGGCAGCTGTAAGGGGTGGAATCCTCACCTGGCAAAGCCACCCTGTCCCCCAGCTGAACCAAATGTTGCAGTGGTGCCGACCGGGCTGGTAAACGCTGCAGAGGTCCCAAAGCCTCCCCCTGGGCTGCCAAATGAAGGTGCTCCACCGAACGAAGAAGTACCCAGGGACGGACTCCCACCAAATGAGGGCTGACCCCCAAACCCTGCAGGTGCTGTGAACAGAGGACGGTTTGCAATTATAATGTTGTCTGTCCAATATCCAAGAGAGAGTGAGAGGGAGAGAGCATCTACAGCTGACTTACGCTTTGGACTGTCTGACCACTAACTTGTATCAACAGCTGACTTGCCCTGAGGACTGTCTGACCAATGCCACCTTGTATATATACACAATACAGATGACTTACCCTTTGGACTGTCTGACCACTAACTTGTATCTACAGCTGACTTGCCCAGTGGATTGTCTGACCACAGCTACCTTGTATATATGCAGCTGACTTACCCTGTGGACTGTCTGACCACTGCTCTCTTGTATCTACAGCTGACTTACCCTGTGGACTGTCTGACCACTGCTACCTTGTATCTACAGCTGACTTACCCTGTGGACTGTCTGATCATTGCTACTAAGTACCTGCAGCTGGTGTACCCTGTGGACTGTCTGACCACTGCTACCAAGTATCTACAGCTGACTTACCCTGTGTACTCTGCCCAACACCGAACCCTGTTGCTGCCACGCCACTTCCGCCACTGAATCCGCCTCCAGACCCAAACCCTCCATCGGACTTGCCGCCAAAAGATGTCGATCCAGCGTTGCCAAAGAGACCAGTGTTCTGGGTGTTGTCGGTGGTGCCAAATGTCCCTCCCCCAAACACGTTTTTATTTGCTTTATCTGCACTGGGTTTCCCACCAAGACCCCCAAACAGCCCTCCTCCTCCCCCACCAAACACCACTGCCTCAGAACTGGCAGTGGTGGTGGTTGTAGATTGACCAAATGCAGAAGAACTGGAAAGGAAAAGAACTTCATGTAAGTGACTTAGTCGTGTGATACTTATTGTCAACATTAACTACTTGCAAACCTATGAGTTTAGGTATAGTACTGACAAACTAAGGATCAATAGACTTAGTGTCCAGGAAGTGTTATCCACTCAGAGTCCAGACTCTGAAGATCTGGAGTAGAATAGGTCTTCAGCAACCCATGCTTGCCTTAAATGGCGACTATGCTTGTCGTAAGAGGCAACAAACAGGATCGGGTGGTCAGGCTCACTGACTTGGTTGATGCATGTCATCGTGTCCCAATTGCGTGGATCGATGCTCATGATATTAATCACTGGATTGTCTGGTCCAGACTCGATTATTTACAGACCGCCGTCATATAGCTTGAATATTGCTGAGTGCGGAATTAAACAACAAACCAAGCAACCAAAGAATAATGTTGTAAGCTCACCTTGTGGTGGTCGCTGTTTGACCAAACACAGAACCTCCAGCACCAAAAGCTCCAGAACCCCCGCCAAAACTGAAACAGACATTATTGATCTGTTATGGTCTTTATGTGAAGTCAAGTTAAGATAGTCGGTTAACCCAGCTGAGTCAGGGTGACATCATCTGATACGTCACCAATCTGGATGAATCTGCTCTAAAGTTTAAAAAGAGAGTGAAAAATATGCTTTAACTTTAACTCAATCTCAATAAAATCAGATCTTAGTTCTCGCTACCGCTAAAGAAAGATCTGAGGACATCCCATTAGGGGTCACGTCAGGACGACCTTTCATTCGGCCAATCATAGCGTCGCTTACCAGATCATGAAAGTGACAGTCGGAATGTGATAGCTCATCATGCAGCCTCGAAAACTTTAAAACTGGGTATTCCGAACGATAGTTACGGGCTTAACGACTGAATCTATACAATCTAGACCATATATCAGCCATTCGAGAATGTTCTTTTGTTCAGGTTTCAAATTTTTAAGCAAGAATTTGTCAAAATATGTTTCAAAGTGTAGTCGCCAATTTGAAATTAGTGCCGTAAAGCACGAGAAACCTGCCTTCTGATTGGCTACTGACGACTTCTTGTCAATAATTCCATTGGTCGGTCAGAGTTCGCGAAAGGTCGGTCTGACGTGACCCGTAATGGGATGTCCTCAGATCTTTGTTTAGCGGCAGCGAGAATTAAGATCTGATTTTAATGAGATTGACTTTAACTATGTGAATCTTGAACACATTATGTTTGTATTTTTCTTATAACATTTATTTTTTAAGGATTTCTTTTTACAATATAAACCTAAATTGATCTTTCAAAATATGTACATAAGTAAAAGAACGTGTTTTTATCATAAAAGGACGTCACACACAACCTAGTTACCTTGATGTTTGGGAAAAACCTGGCGACTGGCCAAAACTTGGTTTGGCAAACCCTGTTGTATTTTGTCCGAACCCAAACCCTGACGTGGCTGTTCCTGGCGCTGTAGTCCCAAAGACAGATGGAGTTGTTGTAGTAGCTGTGGATGATGCAAACACTCCTGTCGTGGCTGTTCCGCCACCAAATGCCGATGAAGTATTGGCTGCTGAGCTCCCACCAAATATAGATGTGGTGGAAGATGAGCTACCAAATGCAAAACCAGTAGATTCTGCTGTTGTTGTTGTTGCAGCCGCTTGGGATGGAGTTGCTGCTGCTTCAGTTGATGCTGTTGCTGTTTGTCCAAAGGCAGCGGTGCTTGCTGAAGTTGTGGGTGTAGTGCCAAACAAGGACTTGGTGACCGTGGCTGATGTTGTCGAGGTGGTTGTTGTGTCATCAGTGCTGGACACCTGGGTAGTAGTAGCCAGGGCGCCGAACGATGTCGGGCCTGTAGAATCAAACACCCCTGCACTGCCCCCAAACTGGGCAGTCGTGGTGGTTGTGGTGGCGCCACCTGGAGGACTACCCCCAAACTTGGCCGGCTGACCAAATCCACCAGAAGATAAGCCGAACAGGTTTGATGCTGCTGCAGTAACAGCTGTGGCGGGTGTATCTGCCGATGTAGATACTGTTGTAGTGGCGCCGCTGACTGCCAGTGAGGTGTTGCCTTGTTGAGTGGGCTGTGACGGAGAGTCACCAGGCTTGAAGCTGAAACTACTGAGAGCTGCGGCAGCTTCCTGGGGTGCAGTAGACGAAGCGTCAGTCAGCGCTGCAAGCAGGCTGCTCCCTAGTGCAGCAGACGCAGTTACAGACGCTGCTGATGTGGATGTTGTGGAAGTATCAGTTAGGGCAGCCAGTAGACTGCTGCTGAGGGCTGCTGTCACTGCCGCTGCTGAGACAGAAGATGTGACACTGGGAGTGGTAGTGGTGGTGGTGTCACTCTTACCACCGAATGTCCCTCCCCCAAACGCTGAGAATGATGTTGACTGTGGCTTTTCTGTCTCAGTCGATGGCTTGGAAAATATGCCACTGTCTGTGAACAAAACATATCCAAACTTACAAATGTTGTGTTTTTGATAACAGAGAATGTAACCATAAGAAGTTAAGCATGATCTGTGACGTTCATGACAATGAGGAGAAACAGGTCACAAACCTTGTTTGAACCAGGCAACACAGTTAAAACTTTGGGGTTATTCTTGTTTTTAATATGTGAAGAGATTTTAGAATTGCCTCCGCCTAAGATGAGTTTTGAAGAAAGCTTTTTGTAACATTGTTTCACCAGCCAGCCAACAATCACATCAATAGATAGAGTCACCATTGTAAATGATGCAGTCATAAGTAATCCAGCTATAACATGACAGTTTGTCCAGGCAGACCAGTGACTGAAAACGTTCAATAGCAACATCCTACACTCTGGGCATGATGACACACAATCTGTCTAGTCACAGACATTGCCCACCCGATTCAATTTACTCATCTCTTACTACAAGATATAGGACCCATGAAGATTCGGGGTAGAATAGGTCTTCGGCAATGCATTCTTGCCATAAGAGGTGACTAACGGGATCGGGTGGTCAGCCTCACTGACTTGGTTGATGCATGTCATCGTATTCAATTGCATGGATTGATGCTAACGATGTCAATCACTGGATTGTCTGGTCCAGATTCAATTATTTACAGACCACCATCATATAGCTGGAATACTGCTGACTGCGGCGTTAAACAACAAACAAACAAAACAAGATCAAGAGTGCTGGTAACATAATTCGACCCTGGTCTCCATGGTATCCTACAATGAGAAGGCAATGCAGACTTACTGGCACCAAAAGAGAATCCCCCGGCAGCAGCGGCACCACTGGTGGCAGTAGCGTTCCCCCCTGGCACAGTGAAGGAAAACCCACTTGGGGCGGTGGATGCTGTTGTTGTGGATGCAGTGGTGGAAGGGGCTGTCGAGAAGCTGAAACCCTTGGCCTGGATCTTGCCTGCCGTAGCCTCATCTGATGGCATAACATGCATCACAATTAGCATCATCTTCTATCTGAGTCCATTCATTCCACTGTCATCATCTGTCTATTGTCATTATCTGTGTGTATTGTCTTCATCTGCGTGTATTGTCACCATCTGTGTGCATTGTCAACATCTGTGTGCATTGTCATCATGTGTGTGTGTGTATTGTCATCATCTGTGTGCATTGTCATCATGTGTGAATTGTCATCATCTGTGTGTATTGTCATCATGTGTGTATTGTCACCAACTGTGTGCATTGTCATCAGTGTGTATTGTCCTAATCTGTGTGCATTGAAATCATCTGTGTGCATTGTCATATTGTGTGCATTGTCATATTGTGTGTATTATCATCTGTGTTCATTGTCATCATATGTGTATTTTATCATCTGTGTGTTTTGTCATCATCTGTGTGTTTTGTCATCATCTGTGTTCATTGTAATCATCTGTGTTCATTGTAATCATCTGTGTATTTTCATCATCTGTGTTCATTGTAATCATCTGTGTTCATTGTAATCATCTGTGTTCATTGTAATCATCTGTGTATTTTCATCATCTGTGTTCATTGTCATAATCTGTGTGTATTGTCATCATTTGTGTGCATTATCATCTGTGTATTGTCATCATCTATGTGCTTTATCTTCACCTGTGTGCATTGTCATCATCTATGTGCTTTGTCATCATCTGTGTGTATTGTCATCATCTGTGTCTTGTCATCATCTGTGTTTTGTCATCATCTGTGTCTTGTCATCATCTATGTGCTTTGTCATCATCTGTGTGCATTGTGATCCTCAAAGTGCATTGTCATCCTCTATGCGCTTTGTCATCATCTGTGTGTATTGTCATCATCTGTGTGTATTATCATCAGCTGTGTGTATTGTCATCATCTGTGTGTATTGTCATCATCTGTGTGTATTATCATCAGCTGTGTGCATTATCATCTGTGTCTTGTCATCATCTGTGTCTTGTCATCATCTGTGTATTGTCATCATCTGTGTCTTTTCATCATATGTGTGTATTGTCATCATCTGTGTGTATTGTCATCATCTGTGTGTATTATCATCATCTGTGTGTATGTCATCATCTGTGTCTTGTCATCATCTGTGTATTGTCATCATCTGTGTCTTGTCATCATCTATGTGCTTTGTCATCATCTGTGTGCATTGTGATCCTCAAAGTGCATTGTCATCCTCTATGCGCTTTGTCATCATCTGTGTGTATTGTCATCATCTGTGTGTATTGTCATCATCTGTGTGTATTATCATCATCTGTGTGCATTATCATCTGTGTATTGTCATCTGTGTGTATTGTCATCATCTGTGGATTGTCATCCCCAAAGTGCTTTGTCATCCTCTGTGTGCATTGTCATCATCTGTGTGTATTATCATCTGTGTATTGTCATCATCTGTGTGTATTGTCATCCTCTGTGTGCATTGTCATCATCTGTGTGTATTATCATCTGTGTATTGTCATCATCTGTGTATATTGTCATTATCTGTGTGTATTATAATCATCTGTGTGTATTATCATCAACTGTGTGTATAATCATCATCTGTGTCTTTTCATCATATGTGTGCATTGTCATCATCTGTGTGTATTGTCATCATCTGTGTGTTTTATCATCATCTGTGTCTTGTCATAATCTGTGCATTGTCATTCTCAAAGTGCATTGTCATCCTCTATGTACTTTGTCATAATCTGTGTGTATTGTCATCATCTGTGTGTTTTATCATCATCTGTGTCTTGTCATAATCTGTGCATTGTCATTCTCAAAGTGCATTGTCATCCTCTATGTACTTTGTCATAATCTGTGTGTATTGTCATCATCTGTGTGTATTATCATCATCTGTGTGCCTTGTCATCATCTGTGTGTATTATCATCTGTGTGCATTATCATCTGTGTGTATTGTCATCATTTGTGTATTGTCATTCTCAAAGTGCATTGTCATCATCTGTGTATTGTCATCATCTGTGTGCATTATCATCTGTGTATTGTCATCATTTGTGTGTATTGTCATCATCTGTGTGTATTATCATCATGTGTGTGCATTATCATCTGTGTATTGTCATCATCTGTGTGTATTGTCATCATCTGTGTGTATTATCATCATCTGTGTGCATTATCATCATCTGTGTTCATTGTCATCATCTGTGTTCATTGTCATCATCTGTGTTCATTGTCATCATCTGTGTGTATTGTCATCATATGTGTGCATTGTCATCAATCTCTGTGCATTGTCATCATCATCATCAATGTTTATCATCATCATCATGTAAAGTGTATATTATCATGTAATCAGTGTATATTATCAAAGCATGCTACCTTCAGCACATGCATCAACGTCTGGTGTTTTCACTCTGGGATCTCCAGCAGATCCAGACCCAAACAAAGATTTGCCAGCGAGTCCTGACGCTCCCAGCTCGGTGCTGAACCCAAAGCCTGAAGCTGGGACTGGTGGTGTATTACTGGGCTGTTTAGCCATCATGGCTGGAGTGCTTGTGGAGAGCTTGCCAGTCGACAGCTGATCGGAGATGAAGGTCTTTGATCCACCAAATAGGTTCTTGCTGACTCCAGCCTTCTGATCTGTGGGAACAGCTGAGTGCAGGGACGACAGAGGGGTGCCGGCAGAACCTGGATGACAGTTCACTCTCAGATTAAGAGTTATACATACAGAGAAAACTAGTCTACACATTAATGTGCTCGTCAGTTACACATTACTAGAATTCTATCATTCAAATCACATGATGTTGAATGTGTCAAGGTCACCCAGAAATGCTTAAAGTAACATACCAATAATAACAACTCATTGACATTGACAGAAATACTAAATTTGCATTGAGATATATTGGTATTATTTAGTCCTCCAATGCTGTCATATTGCCCAACATGTCTTCTATATCAATTGTTTTGAAAAAAAAGTAAAAGAGAAAACAATCAGTTGTAAATAAATGTTGGGGTTGTACTTTCATGAATTCACAAAAAAAAATCCTTTTGATTTCCTTACCTCTATGCTTGTGCTGGTTCTGCTCGTTGTCCCCAGATGCGTCTGTTCGGGATTCCAGGGAGTACTCTACACCAAATCCAGCCTCTTCCTCATCATCATCGTCCTCCTCGTCATCATATTCCCCCTCATCCTCCTCTGTGAGACCCTCTTGCTCATCACTCTCTAGCTCAGGAGTGAAGCTGGGGGAGATGTCCTCCACGTCTGGATGCTGACCCCCACCCGAGTATGTCGCAGTCAGAGTCTCCTTCATACGCAACATCGCCGACGTCAGCTCCTCCGAGCTCACTCCACGACCTGTGTTCCTGTAGACAGGCTGGCAGAAGAAGTTAACTGATTACTACAAGCTTCAAGTTACATTTCCAATCTTCACTTGCTTTCACAGGAAAGACATTCTAGATTATGAAAACTACAAACATAAGGCCTGTTTCTCTCATGTTGTGATGGGGTGGGGGTGTTGTGATGGGGTGGGGGATGGGTGATGGGTGTGTGTGTGTTGTGATGGGGTGTTGTGAAAGGGGGTTGATGGGGGTGGGGGTGTTGTGATGGGGTGGGGGTGTGGTGATGGGGTTGGGGGTTTGGTAATGGGGTGGGGTTTGGTGATGGGGTGAGGGTGTTGAGATGGGGCGGGGGTTGGTGATGGGGTGTGGTGACGGGATGGGGTGTGGTGATGGGATGGGGTTGTTGTGATGGGGTGAGTGTTTGATGATGGGATGGGGGTGTGGTGATGTGGTAGGGGTTTGGTGGGGATTTGGTGATGGGATTGAGGTTTGGTGATGGGGGTTGAGGTTTGGTGATAAGGTGAAAATTTGGTGATTGGTCGGGGATTCATCAAACACTAACCTCCAGACCCCCGAAGCCCCTTTGCTGCGAGTCAGTTCTGCTGTTGTTGTTCTTCATGGCTGCTGTTATTTGTACACTTCTGGCAGGGTGAAGGTCACTTTGAGATCTCGCCTGTGAGATGGCATTGTTGTTGGTAGGGGGGAGCTTCTTTAAGTTGCCCTGACCGGTCGGTAGGAACCTTGTGCGGCCTCCTGTGGGGTCAGAATACTCCTCTCTAGGGCGCACCAGCTGAAGGGGCGTGGTCTGGTCACCACCTGGCCAACACATTGTGTTTACATTCATAATTATGACAAACTGTTAGGACTTCACAAGTTAGATGCAAGTAATTTAAAAACCACATTGGCTGCTGAGTATATAATATTTTGGGAGGAAATTTGTCACCATTGAGAAGCGGACGTATATTAGAACACTTCATGGCTGGGGATAACTATTACTCAAAAAAACAATGTCTGCCACATCTCTGTAGTTACCATGACTACCAGACAGTGGAGCAAAAACTCTCTTAGTGAGTCGAGTACATACCAGGGGAGGATCGGGGACTTCGAACATCCTCCAGTTTCTCCCGGAGTCCCTTGGCTGCTACGATCCTCGACATGGACAGATTCCCTGAAACATCAGGAAACAGACAGATATATAGGAATGTCTCAATCCCCAACATCAGAGAAAAAGTACAAAGGTGTTTGTAAGTATTTGCTAAAACAGAATCAGCCCATTCAACACCATTTCTAGAAGGCCTCAGAAATCATGACATACCACAACTCATTTCCAGTGACTGGCTGACTGGATACAGGTACAGTACAACATATCTGGTTTGGTTGACGAGCTACAGGTACATGATACAACATACCTGACTTGGTTGACTGGAGACAGGTATGTGGTTCAACATACCTGGCTTGTTTGACTGGAGACAGGTACAAGATACCTGGTTTGGTTGACTGGATACAGGTACGTGGTACAACATACCTGGCTTGTTTGACTGGAGACATGTACAACATACCTGACTTGTTTGACTGGATACAGGTACATGGTACAACATACCTGGCTTGTTTGACTGGAGACAGGTACAACATACCTGGCTTGTTTGACTGGATACAGGTACGGTACAACATATCTGGTTTGGTTGACGGGCTACAGGTACATGATACAACATACCTGACTTGGTTGACTGGATACAGGTACGTGGTACAACATACCTTGCTTGTTTGACTGGAGACAGGTACAACATACCTGGCTTGTTTGACTGGATACAGGTACGGTACAACATATCTGGTTTGGTTGACGGGCTACAGGTACATGATACAACATACCTGACTTGGTTGACTGGATACAGGTACGTGGTACAACATACCTGGCTTGTTTGACTGGATACAGGTACATGGTACAACATACCTGGTTTGATTGACTGGAGACAGGTACAAGATACCTGGTTTGGTTGACTGGATACAGGTACATGGTACAACATACCTGGTTTGATTGACTGGAGACAGGTACAACATACCTGGCTTGATTGACAGGTTACAGGCGCGGTACAACATACCTGGCTTGATTGACAGGATACAGGTACAACATACCTGGCTTGTTTGACTGGAGACAGGTACAAGATACCTGGTTTGGTTGACTGGATATAGGTACGTGGTACAACATACCTGGTTTGGTTGACTGGATACAGGTACATGGTACAACATACCTGGTTTGATTGACTGGAGACAGGTACAACATACCTGACTTGATTGACAGGATACAGGTACAACCTACCTGACTTGATTGACAGGATACAGGTACGGTACAACATACCTGGCTTGATTGACAGGATACAGGTACAGTACAACATACCTGGCTTGATTGACAGGATACAGGTGCGGTACAAAATACCTGGTTTGGTTGGCAGGATACAGGTACAGTACAACATACCTGGCTTGATTGACAGGATACAGGTACGGTACAGCATACCTGGCTTGGTTGACAGGATACAGGAATGGTACAACATACCTGGCTTGGTTGACAGGATACAGGAATGGTACAACATACCTGGCTTGGTTGACAGGATACAGGAATGGTTCAACATACCTGGCTTGGTTGATCTGATGCGGGGTACAGTTCGCTGGGCCAGGAACTGTCTCAGCTGTGCAGTCTTTTCCGGGGACACAGATCCTGCCAGGGAAAGTCCGGGCTGGGCACTCCCCCTCCCCAGCGAGTTGACCAGGGATGTGATGTCCGGGGATCTAGAAGCAAGTACAAACACAAGCAAAGATTAGACACCTGAGTTCTGACATGTTTGGATGTACACAGAACACACAGACGGAGGAAGGGAACACGGTATTACCTGGAGGTGTCTGTCCGGAACATGGACATGTTCTGCCAGTCTGCCGAGCGGTTGTACAGCTGCAGGTTCTTCAGGTTCTCCTGCAGCTTCTCCAGCTGCGTCTTCTGAGTGTGGATCAGGTTGTGGTTGCTCTTCACTGCGCGGTAGACCATGTCCGATGTCGGGGCCTGCAGTCTAAAACAATAGAATAACACATGCAACCAGTAAGCTATGTCCTAATTGGGTGCTTGCAGTCTGAAACACACATTCACACAGACTGACCCCGTATTTACACAGACTGACCTCCCACACTGATTGGCCTCCCATTCACATGGTCTGACCTCCCCTTCACACTGAGTGACCTCCCACACAGATTCGCCTCCCATTAACACACTCTCCTTCACACAGTCTGACCTCCCCTTCACACAGTCTGACTTCCCCTTCACACTGAGTGACCTCCCACACAGATTGGCCTCCCATTCACACACTCTCCTTCACACAGTCTGACCTCCCACACAGATTGACCTCCCATTCACACACTCTCCTTCACACAGACTGACCTCCCCTTCACACTGAGTGACTCCAATTCACACAGACTGACCTTCCACACAGATTTGACTCCCATTCACACAGACTGACCTCCCATTCACACAGACTGACCTCCCATTCACACACTCTCCTTCACACAGACTGACCTCCCACTCGCACAGACTGACCTCCCACACAGATTGGACTCCCATTCACACAGACTGACCTCCCATTCACACTCTCTCCTTCACACAGACTGACCTCCCCTTCACAAAGACTGACCCCCCCTTCACACAAGACTGACCTCCCACACAGATTGGACTCCCATTCACACACTCTCCTTCACACAGACTGACCTCTCCTTTACAAAGACTGATCTCCATATCACACAGATGTACCACCTATTCACACTCTCCTTCACACAGACTGACCTCCCCTTCACAGTCTGACCTCCCCTTCACACAGACTGACCTCCCCTTGATGGCCTTCTTCCGGTCCTGATGCTCCTCCCACTGTTGGTCCAGGATCAGGTCGACCTCAACCAGGCCCTGACTCTGGGCCTGATACTGGGCCTGGAGCTGCTTCAGCTTATCAGCACTGGCTGGGTCCAGGGCCCGTGACCTCAACAGCTTGTGGTACTTGGGGTCATCGTTGCGCTCCTGACGCACCCGGCACTCCTCCGCCATCGCAAACAGCTCCAGACACAGCGACTTGTGGTCGTGGACTTCACGGCTCTGCTCCTGTAGTCGGGACAGCAATGTCTTACACAACAGCTATGTAACAGTACTCAATAAGGCAGCTAAACAACAGCAGTATGTAATCAGGCAGGAATATCACAGCAGTATTAGTAAGACAGCTGTATCACAGCTGTGTTTAGTAAGAAAGGTACATAATTATATCAGTACTTCATGAAAAACATTGAGGAAAGTGTGATGCAGGCCTTAGATATTTACCACTTTGGTTAAATCAATGAGCTCTGACAAAAATCTAGAGTCGTAATCAGAGGTAATCTGGGATTAAAACCTGTGATTATAAAATTGTGACGCCTTAGGCGACTGGATACTAAGAAAGCCTAAAGGGTAGTGGTAAATGACAGGATTCCCTGGGTGCCTAAGGGGTAGGGGCAGACGACTGCATCTTTGGAAGCCTAAAGGGGTAGGGGTAGACGACTGCATCTTTGGAAGCCTAAAGGGGTAGGGGTAGACGACTGCATCTTTGGAAACCTAAAGGGGTAGGGGTAGACAACTGCATCTTTGGAAACCTAAGGGGTAGGGGTAGACGACTGCATCTTTGGAAGCCTAAAGGGGTAGGGGTAGACGACTGCATCTTTGGAAGCCTAAAGGGGTAGGGGTAGACGACTGCATCTTTGGAAACCTAAAGGGGTAGGGGTAGACAACTGCATCTTTGGAAACCTAAGGGGTAGGGGTAGACGACTGCATCTTTGGAAACCTAAAGGGGTAGGGGTAGACGACTGCATCTTTGGAAGCCTAAAGGGGTAGGGGTAGACGACTGCATCTTTGGAAACCTAAAGGGGTAGGGGTAGACGACTGCATCTTTGGAAACCTAAGGGGTAGGGGTAGACGACTGCATCTTTGGAAGCCTAAAGGGGAAGGGGTAGACGACTGCATCTTTGGAAGCCTAAAGGGGTAGGGGTAGACGACTGCATCTTTGGAAACCTAAAGGGGTAGGGGTAGACAACTGCATCTTTGGAAGCCTAAGGGGTAGGGGTAATGACTGCATCTTTGGAAGCCTAAATGGGTAGGGGTAGACGACTGCATCTTTGGAAGCCTAAAGGGGTAGGGGTAGACGACTGCATCTTTGGAAACCCAAAGGGGTAGGGGTAGACGACTGCATCTTTGGAAGCCTAAAAGGGTAGGGATAGACGACTTCATCTTTGGAAGCCTAAAGGGGTAGGGGTAGACGACTGCATCTTTGGAAGCCTAAAGGGGTAGGGGTAGACGACTGCATCTTTGGAAGCCTAAAGGGGTAGGGGTAGACGACTGCATCTTTGGAAGCCTAAAGGGGTAGGGGTAGACGACTGCATCTTTGGAAGCCTAAAGGGGTAGGGGTAGATGACTGCATCTTTGGAAGCCTAAAGGGGTAGGGGTAGACGACTGCATCTTTGGAAGCCTAAAGGGGTAGGGGTAGACAATTACATCTCCTGGAATCCTGCCTAAAGGGGTAGGGGTAGGGGTAGGGGTAGGGGTAGGGGTAAACAACTGCATCTCATGGAAGCCTAAAGGGTTATTGATAGAAGACAGGATCCCTGGAAGCCTGAAGGGGCAGAAGGATGACTGGATCCCCAGTTGGGTTAGAGCTGGGTTAGGTGTAAGAGAAGATGACTGGATCCCGAGTAGGGTTAGAGCTAGGGGTAGGTGTAGGGGAAGATGACTGGATCCCCAGTTGGGTTAGAGCTGGGGTTAGGTGTAAGAGAAGATGACTGGATCCCGAGTAGGGTTAGAGCTAGGGGTAGGTGTAGGGGAAGATGACTGGATCCCCAGTTGGGTTAGAGCTGAGGGTAGGTGTAAGAGAAGATGACTGGATCCCGAGTAGGGTTAGAGCTAGGGGTAGGTGTAGGGGAAGATGACTGGATCCCGAGTAGGGTTAGAGCTAGGGGTAGGTGTAGGGGAAGATGACTGGATCCCAAGTTGGGTTAGAGCTGAGGGTAGGTGTAAGAGAAGATGACTGGAACCCGAGTAGGGTTAGAGGTAGGGGTAGGTGTAGGGGAAGATGACTGGATCCCCAGTTGGGTTAGAGCTAGGGGTAGGTCTAGGGGAAGATGACTGGATCCCCAGTTGGGTTAGAGCTGAGGGTAGGTGTAAGAGAAGATGACTGGATCCCCAGTTGGGTTAGAGCTGAGGGTAGGTGTAGGGGAAGATGACTGGATCCCGAGTAGGGTTAGAGCTAGGGGTAGGTGTAGGGGAAGATGACTGGATCCCGAGTAGGGTTAGAGCTAGGGGTAGGTGTAGGGGAAGATGACTGGATCCCCAGTTGGGTTAGAGCTAGGGGTAGGTGTAGGGGAAGATGACTGGATCCCCCGTTGGGTTAGAGCTAGGGGTAGTTGTAGGGGAAGATGACTGGATCCCGAGTAGGGTTAGAGCTAGGGGTAGGTGTAGGGGAAGATGACTGGATCTCCAGTTGGGTTAGAGCTAGGGGTAGGTGTAGGGGAAGATGACTGGATCCCCTGGAGGCTAAAGGGTACAGCTGGAGGAACCGACTGTCAACCTTGGTATTCTCCTTGATGTCGTGGCAGAACTTGGCCATGTCCTCTGTTGCTCGTCTCAGGTCCAGCATCTCCTTCCTGGTGCCGACCTCCTTCAGACTGTTGCCTGACCTCAGCTTCAGATCATGCAGCTCCTTCTCAAAGTGCTGCATCTACAACACAGATCAAATCTGTGTAGGCACTAGCAGGGACACAAATGGATACAAGGATTTGCAAAGGCAGTGTTGTGATATTAGGCTTAAAAATATAAAAGAATTGGTTCTCAGGCAATGACTTTTATAGAAAATAGTCCCGGCAGCTGCTTTTTTATCTTTTGGTTGTTCAAACTAGTATGTAACCAAATAAACAGTTGTGTACCATAAATCTTGGAAAGGGCCTCCCTACATAAACAAGCATACAAACTCCTATTAACGCCATGACCATAACACGAGATGTGCAGTAAAGCAGTGAGCATGTTAAGGGAAGTAACAGTATGTTATATTGGATGCATTGTTTTTAAGTATAAGGAAAAAAAAATTAAATTGAAAATGGAAATAAAAAAAGAAATGCGTGGCAGACTTTATGATGATGTTGGCAGTGCCTGAGAACCAAGATTATTATTTTTTAGCCTTATGCAATGATATTAAGACATTGTACATACAGCTTGACATTATATGACCATATATGACATCACTATACACAGCTGTGGATGATATCACAGACTGTACACTGCAACACAAGATGCATCTTACCTCCTCCATGATGGACCTGGTAAACGTACTCTCCACTGTCTCATTCACCGAGGGTTTCTCGTACGGTGGCGGTAGTGGTGCCTCCTCCTCTGACTGCCTTGCCTCCTCCTCGATGTCTCTCTTTACTCCCAGCGTCACACCTGCTAACATCAACATACATTGCTATATTCATGTGAATATTTGGGTTAGAAATTATCTTCAGAAACCCATGCTTGTTGCAAGAGGCAACAAAATCGGGTGGTCAGGCTCTGTGACTGATAATGCATGTCACTGTATCCCAATTGTGTAGATCTAGTACTGAAATGTGGCACATTGGAAACCCTAGCTAGGGCTGTCCCCTCATACAAATATGACTCAAATAGATCAATCCTTGAGTCAGGGATAAGAACATTATGTTGGGGATGACAACCTTATGTCAGGGATGGGAACATTATGTTGGGGATGAGAACCTTGTGTCAGGGATGGGAACATTATGTTGGGGATGGGAACATTATGTTGGGGATGACAACCTTATGTCAGGGATGGGAACCTTATGTCAGGGATGAGAACATTATGTCAGGGATGGGAACATTATGTTGGGGATGAGAACCTTGTGTCAGGGATGGGAACCTTATGTCAGGGATGGGAACATTATGTCAGGGATGGGAACCTTATGTCAGGGATGGGAACATTATGTTGGGGATGAGAACCTTGTGTCAAGGATGGGAACCTTATGTCAGGGATGGGAACATTATGTTGGGGATGAGATCCTTGTGTCAGGGGTGGGAACATTATGTTGGGGATGAGAACCTTGTGTCAGGGATGGGAACCTTATGTAAGGGATGAGAACATTTTGTTGGGGATGAGATCCTTGTGTCAGGGGTGGGAACATTATGTTGGGGATGAGAACCTTGTGTCAGAGATGGGAACATTATGTTGGGGATGAGAACCTTGTGTCAGGGATACGAACCTTATGTCAGGGATGGGAACCTTATGTCAGGGATGGGAATCTTATGTCAGGGATGGGAACCTTATGTCATGGATGGGGACATTATGTTGGGGATGAGAACCTTATGTTGGGGATGAGAACCTTGTGTCAGGGATAGGAACCTTATGTCAGGGATGGGAACATTATGTTGGGGATGAGAACCTTGTGTCAGAAATGGGAACATTATGTCAGGGATGGGAACATTATGTTGGGGATGGGAACCTTATGTCAGGGATGGGAACATTATGTTGGGGATGACAACCTTATGTCATGGATGGGAACATAATGTTGGGGATGAGAACCTTATGTCAGGGATGGGAACATTATGTCAGGGATGGGAACATTATGTTGGGGATGACAACCTTATGTCAGGGATGGGAACCTTATGTCAGGGATGAGAACATTATGTTGGGGATGAGAACCTTGTGTCAGAGATGGGAACATTATGTTGGGGACGAGAACCTTGTGTCAGGGATACGAACCTTATGTCAGGGATGGGAACCTTATGTCAGAGATGGGAATCTTATGTCAGGGATGGGAACCTTATGTCATGGATGGGAACATTATGTTGGGGATGAGAACCTTATGTTGGGGATGAGAACCTTGTGTCAGGGATGGGAACCTTATGTCAGGGATGGGAACATTATGTTGGGGATGAGAACCTTGTGTCAGAGATGGGAACATTATGTCAGGGATGGGAACATTATGTTGGGGATGGGAACCTTATGTCAGGGATGGGAACATAATGTTGGGGATGAGAACCTTGTGTCAGGGATGGGAACATTATGTTGGGGATGAGAACCTTGTGTCAGGGATGGGAACATTATGTTGGGGATGAGAACCTTATGTCAGGGATGGGAATCTTGTGACAAAGCTCAGCTGATTATATACTGGAGAGAACTCAAACAACTCTATTTACATTATCGTGCAAAGAATGAACATGACCTCACCTTTACTAGAGGCTTGGGGTAGTGAGTTTGGTGGGAGCGAGGGTGGGGCTTGTGACGGGGGAGACCGCCCCGGGGCTGGGATGGGTGTGACAGTCTGACCCATGGTAAACCCACCAAATCCCCCTGTTGAGTTTTTCTGTGCTAAAGATTCTGTGGGTTTAGTGAAGGTGTTCCCTCCAAATCCTGCTGATGTTACACCTTGAGCAGCAGCTGGTGTCGATGTTGCAGTCGGTGCAGCTGCAGCAGAGGTAGCTGGGGCTGTTGTAGGTGGAGGCTTGGGGAAACCGAAACCGGTAAAGCTTGTAGATCCCCCAAACATGGACTTGCCCGCTGGCTGACCGAACCCACTGACCCCTCCAGCAGTGTTCGATGAAGTCGTGGACGGCACGGTGCTGAACCCAAAAGACGGCAATGTCGCTGCTTTTTCTGCATCAGGTTTGGTTGCACCAAGGTCAAGTGCTCCTGTGTTTCCCCCGAACACAGACTTGGTGCCAATGGAGGGTGTAGAGAGCACCTGTACTTTGGTGGTGGCAGGAGAGAAGGCTGTCGGTGCCCCAGAGGATGATGGCGTGAAGGGCATCCCTGTTTTCTGACTGCCGGAGGCAGGTGTCACATTGGCTACCTGAGTGACGACTGGTGTGAAGGCCTGGCGACCTGTCAACAAATAACAAAGCATGAACTGACAAGCAGGAAGTAACTGTGTCGCAGGGATAACTATGAAAGTCATTGTGACTGTCCGTGACTTTAGCCACTAGTCTGTAGCCCAAGTCTACTAAAATTTCTCAGCATGCGAGTGAGTGAGTGAACGAGCAAGCGAGCGAGCGAGTTGGATTAAATGCTGCTTAATGACAGTATTCGAGTTATGTCATGGCATGTCAGGTTAATGTGGGAGGAAAGCCCAAAGTAATGCATGACATTTACCACTTTTGTGAAACCCATGAGCATGGTTATAGTTCTGACAAACCTAGAAACATAATGTGAATGGGATGAACAGGGATTCTAACCCACGATGATAGGTTACCGGTGTTCCCAAGGGACACAAGTCTGGACCATGAATTGCACACACTCACACCCACACCCACACCCACACCCACACCCACACCCAACACCCAACACCCACACCCACACCCACATCCACATCCCATATCGTACACCAACACACCACATCCACAACCCCACCCAAAACCCAATGCCCAACCCCACACCCACACCCACTATTTCCAAATACACACACCACATCCACAACCCAACCCAGAACCCAACCCAGAACCCAACACCAAACCCCACACCCAACACACACCTGGCATGTCAGGTGTCGGCTGACTGGGCTTCGTCACAAACTGGAAAGAGCTGCCAGTGGTCGGCAGAGAGGATGGCTTTGGCTGCGAGAACAAGGATGCTCCTGGTGTGTCCAATCCTGTCTTGGGCTGCGAGAACAAGGAGGCTCCTGGAGTGTCTGATGCCGTAGTGGGGGCCTTCTGTACGAACTGGAATGAGCTTCCTGTCTTGGGCAGAGTTGACCCTTGACCCAAGGTCGACACAGGTTGGCTCAACTTCTGTGCTCCCAACATGGCTGATCCTGGTGTAGAAGGCTGGAGGGCGTCTGGAACAGATGCAGCAGACAATATACACGTCTGTCGTTTACCCAGGATTACAAACTAAGTACAAGTTTAGTACTGCCAGCATGCAAATTTGGAATAAATTGTAATATTGTTCAAACTTTTTTAAAGTTATTATTCTCTAAAATGCATAGGTATTTTAACATTCAAACTTTTTCCTCTTCCTTTTATCAGTGACCTATAAGTCACCTCGACCAGGCCATCAAATCAGTGCTCATAACACATGACCTACATAAATCCCTGCTTCATTTAAATTTAAAAACTTGAACAAAACAATTTTTCAAACCTCTGGAAACTATACAGCTCTTTAGAGTATTTACTGTCCCAAATGTGGTTGGTTGGCTTGATACACAAGCACAATCCCTTGTGAACCATACAAGATCCACCAAGCTCTGTCACCAGTTTGAACCAATCAACAGCTACCAAGCAAAAAGCCTGTTGTGACCCAATTAAGACCCAAGCTGAACTGAATGAAACTTTGTATTGGATGGATGGATGGATGGATGGATGGATGGATGGATGGATGAATGAATGAATGGATGAATGGATGAATGGATGGTTCACCTACCTGTAGATGTGCATGCTCCAGGGGCACTAGTGCTGAGGTTCACCTACCCAAAGATGTGTGTGCTCCAGGGGCACTAGTGCTGAGGTTCACCTACCTGTAGATGTGAGTGCTCCAGGGGCACTAGTGCTGAGGTTCACCTACCTGTAGATGTGTGTGCTCCAGGGGCACTAGCACTGAGGTTCACTTCCTGTAGATGTGTGTGCTCCAGAGGCACTAGTGCTGAGGTTCACCTACCTGAAGATGTGCGTGCTCCAGAGGCACTAGTGCTGAGGTTCACCTACCTGAAGATGTGAGTGCTCCAGGGGCACTAGCACTGAGGTTCACTTCCTGTAGATGTGTGTGCTCCAGGGGCACTAGCACTGAGGTTCAATTCCTGTAGATGTGTGTGCTCCAGGGGCACTAGTGCTGAGGTTCACCTACCTGTAGATGTGTGTGCTCCAGAGGCACTAGTGCTGAGGTTCACCTACCTGAAGTTGTGCGTGCTCCAGGGGCACTAGTGCTGAGGTTCACCTACCTGTAGATGTGCGTGCTCCAGGGGGCACTAGCGCTGACGTTTACCTACCTGTAGATGTGCGTGCCCCGGTTGATGTGAGCTGCTCCAGGGGCACAGTGAGGCTGGGGGCACCATTGTTATGGTTTAACAGGTAGTAGGGCACCAGGAGGCCATCAGTTGACAACATCAACAGGATCGGGCTTGGGGGATGAGTCTTGTTATCACCTGGAGTAGAGACAACAATCATATATATTAGGCCCCTCAGTGTGAGTGTCAGCTCATTGGGAAGGGGGCAGGGGTACTTCCTTTTCATCTGAAACGCCAAGTCAATGCAAGGAGGGGGTCACATCTCACCAATGGGCAGGTGGGACAAGGAAGACTTACCCAGTTGTATCAATGTCTGACACCCCAGGGCCAGGGTCATTCCCATGAGGAAGGGGGAGCCTACCAAGTTGTATCAATGTCTTCCACGAAAGGGCGAGGGTCACACCCATGCGCAGCGGTAGAAACTAACAGTTTTAGTCCACTAGTCCTTATAATGATAACATATAGCAAAACTCTTAAAAATGACAAATTTCTACTAGTCCTTATGATACCTTAACTATTGGGCAGTTTGGCAAGGACTACAGGACAAGTGCCAATTTCTACCTCTGATCATGAGGAAGGGGGAACCTACCCAGTTGTATCGATGTCTGACACCCCAGGACCAGGGTCACAACCATAAGAAAGAGGGAGCCTACCAATCTGTATCAATGTCTGACACACCAGGGTGAGGGTCACACCCATGGGGAAGGGGGAGCCTACCCTGTTGTATCTGTGACTGACACCCAAGGACAAGGCAGGGTCAGGGTCACACCCATGGGGAAGGGGGCCAGGGGCACTTACCCAGTGTTATCGGTATCTGACACTCTAGGGTGAGGGTAACACCCATGGGGAAGGGGGCCAGGGGCACTTACCCAGTGTTATCGGTGTCTGACACTCTAGGGTGATGGTCACACCCATGTGGAAGGGGGCCAGGGGCACTTACCCAGTGTTATCGGTGTCTGACACCCCAGGGTGAGGGTCACACCCATGGGGAAGGGGGCCAGGGGCACTTACCCAGTGTTATCGGTGTCTGACACCCCAGGGTGAGGGTCACTACCATGGGGAAGTGGGCCAGGGGCACTTACCCAGTGTTATCGGTGTCTGACACTCTAGGGTGAGGGTCACACCCATGGGGAAGGGGGCCAGGGGCACTTACCCAGTGTTATCGGTGTCTGAAACACCAGGGTGAGGGTCACACCCATGGGGAAGGGGGCCAGGGGCACTTACCCAGTGTTATCGGTGTCTGACACTCTAGGGTGAGGGTCACACCCATGGGGAAGGGGGCCAGGGGCACTAACCCAGTGTTATCGGTGTCTGACACACCAGGGTGAGGGTCACACCCATGGGGGGGGGGGGGGGCAGGGGCAGGGGCACTTACCCAGTGTAATCGGTGTCTGACACCCCAGGGTGAGGGTCACACCCATGGGGAAAGAGTCCAGGTGGTTTGCAGTCAGAGGCAGCTCAGCTCGTCCAGAATCCTCCAGTGTCCAATGTTCCCACACCGATGTCGGTCCCTGATGGTGCATAACAACACATATCAGTGGTCCATGTTAATGTATGATACATATCAGTGGTCCATGTTGATGTATAACAACACATATCAGTGGTCCATGTTGATGTATAATACATATCAGTGGTCCATGTTAATGTATCATACATATCAGTGGTCCATGTTGATGTATAACAATACATATCAGTGGTCCATGTTGATGTATAACAACACATATCAGTGGTCCATGTTGATGTATAACAATACATATCCGTGGTCCATGTTAATGTATAATACATATCAGTGGTCCATGTTGATGTATAACAACACATATCAGTGGTCCATGTTAATGTATGATACATATCAGTGGTCCATGTTGATGTATAACAACACATATCAGTGGTCCATGTTGATGTATAACAACACATATCAGTGGTCCATGTTGATGTATAACAACACATATCAGTGGTCCATGTTGATGTATAATACATATCAGTGGTCCATGTTAATGTATGATACATATCAGTGGTCCATGTTGATGTATAACAATACATATCAGTGGTCCGTAGTGATGTATAACAATACATATCAGTGGTCCATGTTGATGTATAATACATATCGGTGGTCCATGTTGATGTATAACAATACATATCAGTGGTCCGTGTTGATGTATAACAATACATATCCGTGGTCCATATTAATGTATAATACATATCAGTGGTCCATGTTGATGTATAACAACACATATCAGTGGTCCATGTTGATGTATAATACATATCAGTGGTCCATGTTGATGTATAACAACACATATCAGTGGTCCATGTTAATGTATAATACATATCAGTGGTCCATGTTGATGTATAACAACACATATCAGTGGTCCATGTTGATGTATAATACATATCCGTGGTCCATGTTAATGTTGTAGAATTTTCCTATTCGGAATATTCTATAAGTAATACGTTACCACTGTTATACCGAGGCTGTTGTCTCCCACAACTGCTGCTATAGCGAAATCTACCACAGAGATCTCAATTACCTCATGCAGCACGTGCGTAGCCACCTAGCTGCCATGTGACACCCTTCACTCTTGTCTCCTGCGAGAGCAAGTGCTCGGGGGACGGACGGGCGGGCAGCAGCCCAATGGTAACGTATTACTTATAGAATATTCCGAATAGGAAAATTCTACAAATTACATTAAGTAATACGTTACCACTGTTATACCGAGGCTGACTACCACAGTAGGCGGTGGGGAGCACCTACAACCCGAATCCTGACTGCTAGCGTTCCTTCCGACCAGCGGAAGTAAACACCAAGGCGGAAGCACTCGATGCGCATGCACCTAGCTAGGCGTTACCCTATAGGAATACCAAAGCACTGTCAAGCGCATACCGTAAGGCTCAATCGTCATTGCCAAAACGATTGGTGACTCCAAACGGCCCCACTGGATAGGTATTTCATCGCCGCAGCGGATGAGAACACTGTATCCGCGTGAGCTTAATCTTAGATCAGGTTAAACAGTCGAAAAGAGGGAAATTAATTTCATTCAGACCGTATATCCCAGAGCAAGCCTACTTAAAGTATGCATTAGGCGCGTGACCTAATTCCAGTATTTGTAAGCATGCATCACAAGGTTGGGATACACGACAGACAATTAAAGACATAATTGTCAAAATACAAATAAGGACAAAGCACACAAAAAGCCGCCCTCACCTGTGGTGTGAGTGCGCTGGTTTGCGGGACCCCAACTCCTGTACCCACGGCAGTGGGAACATTGGAGTCGACCCAGATTGACCACCGTGCAAGGTCAGACGCCTGAGGAGTTCGGAATTGCGCTGGGCACACCCCTTAGGTGCCCGCTTGCGCCGCGATCCGCGGGCCAAGACGGTGCACACTCTCCACGACGGCATCAGCGACCTGTTTGAGGTAATGATTGGCAAAAAAACCGAGTCAGAACGCCAGTAACAACCTCGTAATATTCTGCGAACAGAGATATTCGAGTGTAGGGCAATTGTTGCCGCTAGCGCCCTGATCTCGTGCGGGTTTGACCCCGCTACCGGTAACCCCCGAAACCGGTACGCCAGATTGATGACAGAACGAAGCCACAACGCAACCGAGTTGCGAGTTATGTCAACCGTGCGATTAGGGTTACACGATATGAACAGACGGTCACGCCCTTGTCTACGTTCATTCGAAACCTTAAGATAATACTTAAGGGCCCTAACCGGACACAGCGCTCTGTCCACAGTATCAGAAGGATGTAAGATTTCTTTGAGTGATCTTACAGTGAATTCTCTCTCCGTTTGCCCGACTCTCTGATTCTTGGCGACGAAGCCCATGAGCAGGCCCAGGCGGACCGCTCCTTCGTCACCCCTATCGAATCGTACCTTGGCGACATCGAGTGCATGAATTTCGGATACACGTGCCGCCGTGGCAAAGGAGAGGAGAAATGCTGTTTTCCAAGTCACATGCCGGAACGAAGCACAATGCAAGGGTTCATACGGAGCTTCCGTAAGTGATTGCAACACTAGGGAAAGATCCCAGGCCGGTGCCCGAAGGCGGCCCTTCTTAAGATCGTGCTGTTTGAAACCCTTGATAATACCCCGTATCACCGGCTCTTTGGAGAGACTGGTACCCATAGCAACGCCCCGTACCGTAGCAACGGACGAGACATAGTTGGCAATGGAAACCCCCGGAGAGTTTCCGGGTCTCTCGCAAGTGAGACATGAAACGAGCAATATCCTGCACAGATACCTTATCTGGCGAATGAATGTGATGTTTACAACACCACTTCGTGAAAAGAACCCAACGTGCATTATACACCTTCTGGGTAGAATCACGATGCATACTAACGTATGCCCGAGACGCCCGGCGAGAAAAAACTTTACTCCTCAGACGCTCGGTGACAACATCCACGCGTGCAGATTGAACTGCCCTGCGTTTGGATGAAGCTGACGGGTGTGAGGGTGGATCAAGAGATCCGGTCTCACAGGCAGTGGAAGTGGCGACTGCGTGACCTGGGTCAGCAAGTCGGGGTACCACGATCAGTTCGGCCACATGGGCGCAATCAGTAACATTCGACAGCGAACTCCTCGGAGCCGGCTAAGAATGTGTGGTATCAACGCTGTCGGCGGGTAAGCATAAGCGTCCAAGCCCGTCCAGTCTAACGCGAGAGCATCGTGATCGATGGCCCTCGGGTCCGGGACTGGTGATACAAACAACGGGAGTTGATTGTTGAACCGCGTTGCGAACAGGTCGACCATCGGACGACCCAAACGTTCGCACAGCCACTGAAACACTACTGGGTTCAGCATCCACTCTGTGGGGCTCGGATCCTGAGGCCTCGATAGAGCATCGGCCAGTACGTTCCGCACACCTGGGATGTGACGGGCGCGTATCTGGCACGGGACACTGTCCACCAGAGCGTAAAACTCGAACGTGAGATCGAGTAGCGAGTGACTGTGGGTTCCCCCCAGTTTGTTCACATAGGACACTACCGTCGTGTTGTCGGTCGCCAGCATGAGCCGGTCGTCGACGAGACGATGCTGCCAGTGATTGACTGCGTTGATCACTGCCTTGAACTCGAGACAAGTGATGTGAAGACCTAGTTCGTCTACGCACCACAGCCCCGAGCTCACCTCCCCCTTTAGATGGGCGCCCCAGCCCACTAGAGAGGCGTCTGTATACAGGGTCAACGTGGCCCGGTAGGGCCGCATAGAGACTCCTGATAAGACAATGTAAGGGACCGTCCACCACTCCAGATGCGGTCGGAGCCGATCCGGGAGGGCGACGGTCGCACTGTTCACCTCCGTTGCTAACAACTGGATTAAAAACCGTTGCAGCGGGCGGAGTTGGAGACGACCCCGTTCGGTGCAGTCCTGGGCTGATACAAGTAGCCCTAACAGCTGTTCCCAAAAGTGAACAGTCTGTTGCACCGCTAAGACTTTGGCAATCATCGCCTGAATTTTGTGCCACCGGTTTGGGGGGACAAAGAGGCGATGGGACACCGTGTTGAACCGACCTCCGATGAACAGCAAGTTCTGAGAAGGGGTTAACTCGCTCTTGGGGAGATTGATAATCCACCCAAATTGCTCCAAGAGCCGACGTGCGAAAACGAGATGGCGTGACAGGGTGTCCGTCATTCGATTTGCTACTAGCGAGTCGTCCAGGTACGCGAAGTACCGGACACCCCTCCTGTGGAGGAACCCCACTATGGGGGTGGTTAACCGGGTGAACAGCCAGGGAGCGGACGTGTGAATCATTCTGAGTTCGGCACTGTCCTACATGGGAACGAGAAATATCCTGGAGTAAAACCCCGGTGTTATTTCTGGTAGAGCTAACTCCCGTACTGCCCCTTCTCCACCAACCTGCCGATGGCATCGGCGAGGATGGGAAGATCGGTTTCCGAATCGAAACCTGCCAACGGGGCAACGGTGAGCGGCGGATTCGCTTTGAGATCAAGCCGATAGCCGTACCGAATCGCGTTGACCACCCACGGGTCGTCGAACACTTGTTCCCAATTCTCCCAGTAAGTCTGGAGTCTGGCTCCCACTGGGGAAGGAGAGGGGGCCCTGACAGGTTGCGGCAGGCGCAACTGTCCAGGGCCAAGTGACTCGGGTTCGCCTAAGGGCCAACCGAAGTTGGCGCTGTCGGCATACGAACCCATCCAATGAGAGTCACCTGGAGGGGCCCTTGCCGTCCGTCGACGACTTGGGCTTCCCCCAGTTCCCCGTCTTCCCGCGAAAGGGCAGCTGATTGCCCATACCGGAGCCCTCAGGGCGGGGCTACTTCCCAGAGGAAGAAGAACCCGACCCCTTAGACCTACCGGCCGCAGTAGCCTGGGGCGCGCTCCGGTTAGGAGCGGCACCCAGGCGCCTTTGCAGGGACCCAACAACAGCAAGTGTGTGCCGAGAGTCCTCGGCAACGTACTCCAGGGAAGCATTTAAACTGAGCAGGCAGTTGTAAATGCGCTGGTCACGGTCCGTGGGAGAACCTTCGACCAGACGGGCCGCTGCAGCCAAGTAAGTGTCTCCGTGAGACATGGAGTGCCGAGCGAGGGCGTCCAGCTGGTGCAAGGTAGCTTGCGTTACCGTAGCAGCCGGTGGGGCACGGACACCCAACCGCTCAACATGGGCCTCCGCGGTAGGACCAGCCTCGGGAAAGGCAAGGTCATGTACCGGGAATAAACCCTTTCTCCACGACGTCGGAGGCAACGGGAGACCCCGACCGGAGGCCGCCGCGAAGGCGTTCTCCAAGGAAGGCTTGAAACCGCGCAGCAAGGTTGATGCGGGGAAAGCCGTGTCGGAAGACTCATCGTATACCTCGGAGGAACCCACAGTCGTGGATTCCCCGCGGTACCGGCCGGGGCATGTCCTCAAAGAGGTCATAAACCATGGCCACGCGGTCCTAAACCGATAGCGGATCCCGGGACGACAAAAACTTTCTGCACACCCCACAACTCCGAGGAGCAGGGGTAGAGGGGGTGGATACTGGGGACATATCCATGTCAGACATTGATTGTTTGCTATAAACAAAGAACAAAACATGGTTACAACGCACGCACCACAATGATTCACAAACGAACATTTTCACAAGAAAATAAACGAGCAATGTGAACATATAACATACACATATAACTTTTATTAAAGAAATAAGTGATGTTAACCCCCAAAACATACAAGAACAGGGGAAACGTAAAACACAACGTGCATACGCGAACCCCGCAAGTATATAGAAAAAAGGGCGGGAAAAATTTTCCGTTTGGCGGGAAAATTATAACCAAGCGTAGCTACCGCAACGCCCCATAAAAGCACAGTTTATTAGAGAATAAACTGTAATAAATATCACCAAATCTTCAAGGAACGCTTCAGCAGGAGAAAACATGTCTTGCTAAGCAGACGAAGGAGACAAGAGTGAAGGGTGTCACATGGCAGCTAGGTGGCTACGCACGTGCTGCATGAAGTAATTGAGATCTCTGTGGTAGATTTCGCTATAGCAGCAGTTGTGGGAGACAACAGCCTCTGTATAACAGTGGTAACGTATTACTTAATGTAATTATAATACATATCAGTGGTCCATGTTGATGTATAACAATACATATCAGTGGTCCGTAGTGATGTATAACAATACATATCAGTGGTCCATGTTGATGTATAATACATATCAGTGGTCCATGTTTATGTATAACAATACATATCATTGGTTCGTGTTGATGTATAACAATACATATCCGTGGTCCATCTTAATGTATAATACATATCAGTGGTCCATGTTGATTTATAACAATACATATCAGTGGTCCGTGTTGATGTATAACAATACATATCAGTGGTCCATGATGATGTATAATACATATCAGTGGTCCATGTTGATGTATAACAATACATATCAGTGGTCCGTAGTGATGTATAACAATACATATCAGTGGTCCATGTTGATGTATAATACATATCAGTGGTCCATGTTTATGTATAACAATACATATCATTGGTTCGTGTTGATGTATAACAATACATATCCGTGGTCCATCTTAATGTATAATACATATCAGTGGTCCATGTTGATGTATAACAATACATATCAGTGGTCCATGTTGATGTATAACAATACATATCAGTGGTCCGTGTTAATGTATAACCATGATAACAATACATATCAGTGGTCCATGTTAATGTATAATACATATCAGTGGTCCATGTTGATGTATAACAATACATATCAGTGGTCCGTGTTGATGTATAACAATACATATCAGTGGTCCATGTTGATGTACAACACATCATGATATCAGTGGTCCATGTTGATGCATAACAATACATATCAGTGGTCCGTGTTGATGTATAACAATACATATCAGTGGTCCATGTTGATGTATAATACATATCAGTGGTCCATGTTGATGTATAATACATATCAGTGGTCCATGTTGATGTATAACAATGCATATCAGTGGTCCGGGTGTGGTATAACAACGTTTATCATTAATGGTCCCTGGTGCTACTCACCCCATCAGGATGCTTGGCAACCACTGCAGCTTCTGTTGCATTGCTGGACGACAACACCACCATGTCCCTGTAGACACAAGCATACACTTACTGAACACCACCATGTCCCTGTAGACACAAGAATACACTTACTGAACACCATGTCCCTGTAGACACAAGCATACACTTACTGAATACTACCATGTCCCTGTAGACACAAGCATACACTTACTGAACACCACCATGTCCCTGTAGACACAAGCATACACTTACTGAACACCACCATGTCCCTGTAGACACAAGCATACACTTACTGAACACCACCATGTCCCTGTAGACACAAGCATACACTTACTGAACACCACCATGTCCCTGTAGACAAAATCATACACTTACTGAACACCACCATGTCCCTGTAGACACAAACATACACTTACTGAACACCATGTCCCTGTAGACACAAGCATACACTTACTGAACACCACCATGTCCCTGTAGACACAAGCATACACTTACTGAACACCACCATGTCCCTGTAGACACAAGCATACACTTACTGAACACCACCATGTCCCTGTAGACACAAGCATACACTAACTGAACACCACCATGTCCCTGTAGACACAAGCATACACTTACAGAGCACCATGTCCCTGTAGACACAAGCATACACTTACAGAGAACCATGTCCCTGTAGACACAAGCATACACCTACAGAGCACCATGTCCCTGTAGACACAAGCATACACTTACAGAGCATTATGTCCCTGTAGACACAAGCATACACTTACAGAGCACCATGTCCCTGTAGACACAAACATTCACTTACAGAGCACCATGTCCCTGTAGAAACAAGCATACACTTACAGAGAACCATGTCCCTGTAGACACAAGCATACACTTACAGAGCACCATGTCCCTGTAGACACAAACATTCACTTACAGAGCACCATGTCCCTGTAGACACAAGCATACACTTACAGAGCACCATGTCCCTGTAGACACAAACATTCACTTACAGAGCACCATGTCCCTGTAGACACAAGCATACACTTACAGAGCACCATGTCCCTGTAGACACAAACATTCACTTACAGAGCACCATGTCCCTGTAGACACAAGCATACACTTACAGAGCACCATGTCCCTGTAGACACAAACATTCACTTACAGAGCACCATGTCCCTGTAGACACAAGCATTCACTTACAGAGCACCATGTCCCTGTAGACACAAGCATACACTTACTGAACACCACTATGTCCCTGTAGACACAAGCATACAAATGTATCATTATAAAGTTTGAATGTTGTTGTGATACCAGTCTCACCATTTTGCCAGGAACATGAAGAAGTACTTGTGTCTCCTGTCTTCCCCGGAGCCGTAGCACACATCCTCAAAGTTCACATATGATGTCGGCCCATCTTTCTGTAAACATGTAACGTAACCATGGTGACTGCAAGAATACATCAAAATACAGATATACTGGGGAGACAGTGAGGTGGTAGATGTAGGAGATACATATGAGACAGGGAGGTGGTAGATACAGGAGATACAGATGAGACAGTGAGGTGGTAGATACAGGAGATACTTACAGATTAGACAGTGAGGTGGTAGATATAGGAGATACAGATGAGACAGTGAGGTGGTAGATACAGGAGAGACAGATGAGACAGTGAGGTGGTAGATATAGGAGATACAGATGAGACAGTGAGGTCGTAGATACAGGAGACACAGATGAGACAGTGAGGTGGTAGATATAGGAGATACAGATGAGACAGCGAGGTGGTAGACATAGGAGATACAGATGAGACAGTGAGGTGGTAGATACAGGAGATACAGATGAGACAGTGAGCATGGTGAGGTGGTAGATATAGGAGATACAGATGAGACAGCGAGGTGGTAGATACAGGAGATACAGATGAGACAGTGAGGTGGTAGATACAGGAGATACAGATGAGACAGGGAGGTGGTAGATACAGGAGATACAGATGAGACAGTGAGGTGGTAGATACAGGAGATACTTACAGATGAGACAGTGAGGTGGTAGATACAGGAGATACAGATGAGACAGTGAGGTGGTAAATACAGGAGATACAGATGAGACGGGGAGGTGGTAGATACAGGAGATACAGATGAGACAGTGAGGTGGTAGATATAGGAGATACAGATTAGACAGTGAGGTGGTAGATGTAGGAGATACAGATGAGACGGAGAGGTGGTAGACATAGGAGATACAGATGAGACAGTGAGGTGGTAGATATAGGAGATACAGATGAGACAGCGAGGTGGTAGATACAGGAGATACAGATTTGACAGTGAGGTGGTAGATACAGGAGATACAGATGAGACAGGGAGGTGGTAGATACAGGAGGTACAGATGAGACAGTGAGGTGGTAGATACAGGAGATACAGATGAGACAGTGAGGTGGTAGATATAGGAGATACTTACAGATGAGACAGTGAGGTGGTAGATACAGGAGATACAGATGAGACAGTGAGGTGGTAAATACAGGAGATACAGATGAGACAGGGAGGTGGTAGATACAGGAGATACAGATGAGACAGTGAGGTGGTAGATATAGGAGATACAGATTAGACAGTGAGGTGGTAGATGTAGGAGATACAGATGAGACAGTGAGGTGGTAGATATAGGAGATACAGATGATACATTGAGGTGGTAGATATAGGAGATACAGATGAGACAGGGAGGTGGTAGATACAGGAGATACATATGAGACAGAGAGGTGGTAGATACAGGAGATACAGATGAGACAGTGAGGTGGTAGATATAGGAGATACAGATGAGACAGTGAGGTGGTAGACATAGGAGATACAGATGAGAGAGTGAGGTGGTAGATATAGGAGATACAGATGAGACAGTGAGGTGGTAGACATAGGAGATACAGATGCGACGGAGAGGTGGTAGATACAGGAGATACAGATGAGACAGTGAGGTGGTAGATACAGGAGATACAGATGAGACGGAGAGGTGGTAGATACATGAGACACAGATGAGACAGGGAGGTGGTAGATATAGGAGATACAGATGAGACAGCGAGGTGGTAGACATAGGAGATACAGATGAGACAGTGAGGTGGTAGATAAAGGAGATACAGATGAGACAGCGAGGTGGTAGACATAGGAGATACAGATGAGACAGTGAGGTGGTAGACATAGGAGATACAGATAAGACGGAGAGGTGGTAGATACAGGAGATACAGATGAGACAGTGAGGTGGTAGACATAGGACATACAGATGAGACGGAGAGGTGGTAGATACAGGAGATACAGATGAGACGGAGAGGTGGTAGATACAGGAGATACAGATGAGACAGAGAGGTGGTAGATACAGGAGATACAGATGAGACGGAGAGGTGGTAGATACAGGAGATACAGATGAGACAGTGAGGTGGTAGACATAGGAGATACAGATGAGACGGAGAGGTGGTAGATACAGGAGATACAGATGAGACGGAGAGGTGGTAGATACAGGAGAGACAGATGAGACGGAGAGGTGGTAGACATAGGAGATACAGATGAGACAGTGAGGTGGTAGACATAGGAGATACAGATGAGACAGTGAGGTGGTAGACATAGGAGATACAGATGAGACAGTGAGGTGGTAGATATAGGAGATACAGATGAGACAGTGAGGTGGTAGACATAGGAGATACAGATGAGACAGTGAGGTGGTAGACATAGGAGATACAGATGAGACAGTGAGGTGGTAGATATAGGAGATACAGATGAGACAGTGAGGTGGTAGACATAGGAGATACAGATGAGACGGAGAGGTGGTAGATACAGGAGATACAGATGAGACGGAGAGGTGGTAGATACAGGAGATACAGATGAGACAGAGAGGTGGTAGATACAGGAGATACAGATGAGACGGAGAGGTGGTAGATACAGGAGATACAGATGAGACGGAGAAGTGGTAGATACAGGAGATACAGATGAGACAGAGAGGTGGTAGACATAGGAGATACAGATGAGACAGTGAGGTGGTAGATACAGGAGATACAGATGAGACAGTGAGGTGGTAGATACAGGAGATACAGATGAGACAGTGAGGTGGTAGATACAGGAGATACAGATGAGACAGTGAGGTGGTAGATACAGGAGATACAGATGAGACGGAGAGGTGGTAGATACAGGAGATACAGATGAGACAGAGAGGTGGTAGATACAGGAGATACAGATGAGACGGAGAGGTGGTAGATACAGGAGATACAGCTGAGACGGAGAGGTGGTAGATACAGGAGATACAGATGAGACAGTGAGGTGGTAGACATAGGAGATACAGATGAGACGGAGAGGTGGTAGACATAGGAGATACAGATGAGACATTGAGGTGGTAGACATAGGAGATACAGATGAGACAGTGAGTTGGTAGACATAGGAGATACAGATGAGACAGTGAGGTGGTAGACATAGGAGATACAGATGAGACAGTGAGGTGGTAGATATAGGAGATACAGATGAGACAGTGAGGTGGTAGACATAGGAGATACTTACAGATGAGACAGTGAGCAGGACTTGTGGCTGGTCTGAGCTCTCCGCTGTGCTGGGAAGATACGCTGCCAGGAACACATAGGTTGACAGCCATGTCACGTCCACAACTGAAACACACAGAGGAGATACAGACTCACCATCACTGTTCAGTGTCATCTTAAGAGTTTTTTAAGGCCAAACATATTTGGAACTATGCCATTACCGATTACATGTGCCAGGCTGTTCAATTTCGGCAGTATTTCCCACACATGAATCTGACAAATCAACTTTTACTGCAAAAAATGGATTGGCCTTTATCCATGTTATCCACACATTCCCCATCGCGGAGACATTAAGATCAATCTTGTTTGTGTGTGAAGACGTCCATGAAACTCCCGATGTTACCTTGGTGAGTGGTGGCCAGGATGCTGGGCATTGGCCAACTGCGTTTCTCCTTCATCTCCTGGTCAAACTGAATCATCGTACCATCCTTCCTTCCAATCACGAGTTGTCTCCCTTTAGGACTCCAATTCACTGACAAGATAAGATCAACTGATATAAGGAAGAATATTGCAGCATTAGTAATCACATTCCTTTCTTGTACAAACTTCAGGCAACAGACTTGTAAGACTGCTGAAAACATGTCTGTAAGACTGCTAGAAAAAATATGTCCGTAACACTGCTGAAACCATGTTTGCAACACTGTTGAAAAAACTTTAGTAAGACTTTTGAGTGAGTGAGTGAGTGAGTATGGTTTTACACCGCTTTTAGCAATATTCCAGCAATATCACGGCAGGGAACACTAGAAATGGGCTTCACACATTGTACCCATGTTAGGAATCGAACCCAGGTCTTCAGTGTGACGAGCGAACGCTTTAACCACCAGGCTACCCGACCGCCCCGTAAGACTTTTGAAAACATGTTTGTAAGACTGTTGAAAATATGTTTGTTGAACTGCTGAAAATGTTTGCACCACTGATGAACACATTCTGGCAACAATATTTCAAATAAGCTTGTAAATATGTTTAAAATATGCTTGTATACTGTTGAAACATCATTATAATGCTGTTCAAAATATAATTCTACATCTGCTGAAATCTTGACTGTCAAGAATACATGTACAAAGTTTGGATGAAATATCTTTCACAGTTTTCAAGTTATGCTCCGGAAACAAAATACAGACAGATGGACAGACGGACAGACACACAGACCTGATGATGACTATATCCACCCGCATTATATGCCAGGGGGATAAAAGGTCTAATAGTAGCAAACATCTTTTTAAGCTGAGTACTTACAACAAGAGGCATTGCTTGACACAGGCAGAGATCCGACGGTTTGGACCGTGTTGGTGACTCTGATCAGCTCCACACTGCCATCTGACACACACACCGCCAGCAGTGTGGGGTCCAGGGGGTTCCACATGATGTCCAGCAGACTCGACCCCGGGGATGCGTTAAGGCGACATCGGGCAAACGCCACAGAGCTGTCCGTCTGATAGTTAAAAAAAAACATAACCACTGTATGCTCAATTTTGTCTACTCATACAAACACACCTTGATACTAGCCAGTAGTCTGAAAATACTATAGTATAACCACCATATATTCAGTTTGGTCTACTCATACAAACAGACCTTGATACTAGCCAGTAGTCTGAAAATACTATAATATAACCACCATATATTCAATTTTGTCTACTCATACAAACACACCTTGATGCTAGCCAGTAGTCTGAAAATACTGTAGTATAACCACCATATATTCAATTTTGTCTACTCATACAAACACACCTTGATGCTAGCCAGTAGTCTGAAAATATTATAGTATAACCACCATATATTCAATTTTGTCTACTCATACAAACACACCTTGATGCTAGCCAGTAGTCTGAAAATACTATAGTATAACCACCACATATTCAATGTTGTCTACTCATACAAACACACCTTGATGCTAGCCAGTAGTCTGAAAATACTATAGTATAACCACCATATATTCAGTTATGTCTACTCATACAAACACACCTTGGTGCTAGCCAGGGTGAAGTTGAGCACATGGGTATCCCCACAGGGTCAAGGTGAGCACATGGGTATCACCATAAGATCAAGTTGAGCACATGGATATCACCACAGGGTCAAGTTGAGCACAAGGGTATCCCCACAGGGTCAAGTTGAGCACATGGGTATCCCCACAGGGTCAAGTTGAGCACAAGGGTATCCCCACAGGGTCATGTTGAGGTCATGGATATCACCACAGGGTCAAGTTGAGCACATGGGTATCCCCACAGGGTCAAGTTAGGGACATGGGTATCCCCACAGGGTCAAGTTGAGCACATGGATATCACCACAGGGTCAAGTTGAACACATGGGTATCACCACAGGTACAAGTTCAGCATATGGGTATCCCCACAGGATCCATTTGAGCACATGGGTATCACCACAGGGTCAAGATGAGCGCATGGGAATCACCATAGAATCAAGTTGAGCACATGGGTATCCCCACAGGATCAAGTTGAGCATATGGGTATCCCAAAAGGGTCAAGTTGAGTCCATGGGTATCCCAAAAGGGTCAAGCTGAGCACATGGTTATCCCAAAAGGGTCAAGTTGAGTCCATTGGTATCCCAAATGGGTCCAGCTGAGCACATGGACTTACCTTGACCGCGAACTGGCGCACATCGTACATACACAGCATCAGGTTGCCACATTCCTTCATCACGACCACCAGTGTCAGTTCATCACAGCTGAGGGCCAGGTGGCTGATGGGGTTGGTCATCGTCACTGACGACCAGAACGGGAAGTCGCTGATGACGGCAGTGCTTCGGTCCCTTGCATTGACGCCATCAACATGACAAATGTCAGCTGTCTTCAACACTTTAAAGCCTGCAAAAAAAGCAATGGGAAGTTATACCAGCAACCATGAAGGAAGGAAGGGTGTGTCACCAGCAGCCATGAAGGGGAGGGGTAAGGGTGTGTCCTGTTACACCAGCAGCCATGAAGGGGAGGGGTAAGGGAGTGTCCAGTTACACCAGCAGCCATGAAGGGGAGGGATAAGGGAGCATCCAGTTACATCAGCAGCCATGAAGGGGAGGTATAAGGGAGCTTCCAGTTACACCAGCAGCCATGAAGGGGAGGGATAAGGGAGGGTACAGTTACACCAGCAGCCATGAAGGGGAGGGATAAGGGAGTGTACAGTTACACCAGCAGCCATGAAAGGGAGGGATAAGGGAGTGTCCAGTTACACCAGCAGCCATGAAGGGGAGGTATAAGGAAGCGTCCAGTTACACCAGCAGCCATGAAGGGGAGGGATAAGGGAGAGTCCAGTTACACCAGCAGCCATGAAGGGGAGGGATAAGGGAGTGTCCAGTTAAACCAGCAGCCATGAAGGGGAGGGATAAGGGAGTGTACAGTTACACCAGCAGCCATGAAGGGGAGGGATAAGGGAGTGTACAGTTACACCAGCAGCCATGAAGGGGAGGGATAAGGGAGCGTCCAGTTACATCAGAGAGCCATGAAGGGGAGGTATAAGGGAGTGTACAGTTACACCAGCAGCCATGAAGGGGAGGGATAAGGGAGGGTCCAATGTATACCAGCAGCCATGAAGGGGAGGGATAAGGGAGTGTCCAGTTACACCAGCAGCCGTGAAGGGGAGGGATAAGGGAGGGTCCAATGTATACCAGCAGCCATGAAGGGGAGGGATAAGGGAGTGTACAGTTACACCAGCAGCCATGAAGGGGAGGGATAAGAGAGTGTCCAGTTATACCAGCAGCCATGAAGGGGAGGGATAAGAGAGTGTCCAGTTATACCAGCAGCCATGAAGGGGAGGGATAAGAGAGTGTCCAGTTATACCAGCAGCCATGAAGGGGAGGGATAAGAGAGTGTCCAGTTATACCAGCAGCCATGAAGGGGAGGGATAAGGGAGTGTCCAGTTACACCAGCAGCCATGAAGGGGAGGGGTAAGGGAGTGTCCAGTTACACCAGCAGCCATGAAGGGGAGGGATAAGGGAGTGTCCAGTTACACCAGCAGCCATGAAGGGGAGGGGTAAGGGAGTGTCCTGTTACACCAGCAGCCATGAAGGCGAGGGATAAGAGAGTGTCCAGTTACACCAGCAGCCATGAAGGGGAGGTATAAGTGAGGGTCCAGTATACAGGATAAATGAAGTAGCATATACATGATGCCTACCATCCTTGAGGCCAACAAAGATCAGACCGAACTTGTTGCTTGTGGCAATCCATTGTGACCGATCTGTGCGGACTTCATCGAGCGGTGCTGACACACGCACTTTACACAGTTGCTGGAACCTGAAGTCCTGACAACAGAAGAAATATTCAAATGACATTATTGATTAGCAGATCCAAAAGGCTCCAAATCAGTTCATTTTCTGGGACACTGAGTGATTGACAACAATACCTTATTACATACAATGTTTATCATGTGAAACCACAAATAAACATGACAAACACATTGAAAATGATGAACATATAAAGAAAAGCTGAATCACAGTAGATGAGTATGATTCACAAAATAAACCTGGATGTCCAGAACAAGGACATATCGACCCTTAAAAAGGGGGGAGACAAATTTTCTAAGTTACAGCTACCTATCTACCCTGGGTGAAAGGCATTTTGTCAATCATGAATGTTTTTATTCTTCAAGATGGCACATTTCAATTCCAAAAGGCACGCCCAAACATATAAAACACTCAAAAAATACATTCTATCCCTGGTAACCTGAAGTTCTCCAAACGCTTTTTAAATCGGCCTGCACAGCCAGAAGAAATAATGTGCAGTTGACGAATAAACAAGGCCAAGCATTATATATGCAGATATAAACCACTGTCTAGAACACTAGCACACACAAAATATATATTTTATGTGAACAGGACACAATATTTAATATGCATAAGACACAATATTTTGTGTCCATTAAATCCTGTTACCCATTGTGAAACACTTTGCTGTGAATGTAATCAGGGTTTGAAATTCCTTGTATTTTAGTGCTGTTGGCATGGTCAAATTCATAACAGCACAGTAAAGATAAGCTACAATGGCCTGTTTCTCAAAGCAATCACAGTACTACAACGGTCGTAAGTCTATGTTAAAGTATTGATAAATAAACATGACCAAGTATAAGACATGCAGACATGATTCAATGTCCAGAACACCAGCACACAACAGTATATCTGATGGTACGTACCCTCTGGTGTCACACGTGCAAAAGCACATTATGATAGCTACCCTTTGCATATTGGAATGACTTTCTGACTGCCACACCAATTGCTGAATACCCAATTTGTGATGACTGTTCAGATAAGGCATCTTTATATTCCACCTTAGTGACCTATGTACACAATGAAGGCTGTCTAACACAAGTAAAACAACAGAGGAATCCAAAGACAAGAAGCCTGGAGTAGACACTAACAGACAAAGGGGCAGTCGGGTAGCCTAGTGGTTAAAGCGTTCGTTCGTCACGCCGAAGACCCGGGTTCGATTCCCGAAATGGGTACAATGTGTGAAGCCCATTTCTGGTGTCCCCCGCCGTGATATTGCTAAAAGCGGCGTTAAATCAAACTCACTCACTCACTCTCTAACAGACAAAAAATGATGTGTTTAAACAAAAACATCCAAACTATTTAGTGAGACAACCCTTGCCTTATTCGAGATGAGACACGTTTCATTTTACATGGTTATATAATAAACCAATAGGCCTAGTTCTAGCGTTGTTTTGATCGACAAAACTTTGGTTGCAAAACTGAAAGTTCGACATATTGGTTGCAAAACTGAAAACTACCTGGGGATAAATCTCATGACAGATAAGACTACTGAATAGAAATGACGAATATCGCAGGTTTTATGGTGTGTCGGTCACTCATCAAATCCTACGCTAAAAATAATATCTATTTATTCAATCATGTAGTTTCTGTGAGTGCGTATACAGGATCAACTGGAGTCATTTTGCAAACTTGGATTTCAAACGGGTGTGCCAAGGAAGATTCATTTTTTCGGTTACGGACTTGTATTCAAATCCTGACGTATCAAGCCAACGTGTAGCGTTACCTTCACGTCCCTTTCGGGTGGACCATCGTTACTCTGAGACATCGTCTTAAACAAAATACATGGACTTCGTCTGGTTACTGCGCCAAACTGGGAATTTCCCTAGGGAGGTATCATTATATCAAACTAAATAGTTACATTCATAAACATAATTCAGAGAATTTCTTTGTGTATTTAATTTCAATTCATCTTTACATATGTATTTAAAATTAATTTAAAATTAAGTCTGAACAATATTATATGTTTTAAATAAACATGAAGTGGCAAATACTTTACATTCTGATGTTGTATTTTTCATTAAATGCTTCCTCCCCTGTAATGTGAAGAATATCATAGTTATCTCCCTTCCATTGCGCCTCTTTCAAGTGGGCTTCACCAGAATTCTTAGTGTATCATCATTTAGCTAACAAATATATAAATAACTGAGTGAAATATGTAGTTAAATACAAAATAAATCGTGTGCATTGACATCATGTATGAAAATTAATGAGGCTGACAACCCCCTTTTGGTACACGGGGATACCAGGGGCATGTTTGAGGGGGGTGCAGGTCAAAACGGCCTCGTGTCAGAACGGTCTCAAAAGCTAAAGTAAAAACGGCCACAGAAAAAGTCAAAACGGCTACAACCCATGGTCAAAACAGCCACAATAAAAAATGTCATAACAACAAAAATATTATTTGATTATGGATATTATTTTCTTGAAAATGTAGATCTCGCAAATTTCCATAATGTCATCAACAGGCAGGATGAAGATCTGAGGACATACCATTAGGGGTCACGTCACTGACGTCAGAACGACCGTTCATCCGACCAATCAGAGCGTCACTTACCAGACCATGAAAGTGACAGTCTGAATGTGATTTCTAATCATGCAGCCTCGAAAACTTTAACACGGGGTATTCCGAACGATAGGTACGGGTTTAACGACTGAATCCATACAATCTAGACCATCTATTAGCCATTCCAGAATGTTCTTCTGCCCAGGTTTCAAATTTTTTATAGAGAATTTGTGAGAAAAAAAATGTTTCGGAGAGTAGTCGCCAATTTGAAATTAGTGCCGTAAAGCACGAGAAAGCTGCCTTCTGATTGGCTAATGTCGATTTCTTGTCAGTCCTTTCATTGGTCGGTCAAAGTTCGCGCAAGGTCGGTCTGGCGTGACCCGTAATGTGATGTCCTCAGATCTTTGTTTAGCGGTAGCGAAAAGTAAGATCTGATTTTAATGAGATTGGATGAAGACATGTTCAGATCTGACATGTCAATGCTTTTGAGATTTGTGTGAAGTAGAATTTGGGATTCAGGGGTGCGCAATGAGACTCAAGGGTGAAAGTACATAAGGTATTCGATCGGGATTCAGTGGAGGAGGGGGTTGGCACCCTCATTAATAGTTGTCATGGTTTAAGGCAAAAAGACGACAATATAAGACTGGGAAAAGACCACTACGCACTCGTGAAAGCGAGAACATGCACCCTTTCCGACGTTTTCCGAATGTTTAGTCGTTTCATAGCGGACGCAGATGGTGTGCGTAGTCAATGTACATATCCTACAGCTTATTGTTGTGGTGTGCAGATTTGGACAAATAACACACATGTACATTACTATGTTTATCGATATACACTTCTAGCTTAGACTGTGTCATATTTTGATAAAATTACAGAACTGTGAGCCTTTTTTCATGCCCCCAGCCCCTCTTTAGCGGTGTCAAATGTTTTGTCATGAACTCTATAGCGCTTTCATGTAATTGGTGTACCAGCTATAGCCAGCTGATAGGTCTTAGAGGTCATTTGATCAGCTGTTTAAAATGGAGAAACGCAAAGTTGTCCCAGAATAAAATGGATGCCTTGAAGAATTGACATTAACATTCAAAAGAAACTCCCACATGTCCCTTCTTCTGTCATGCACAGACGTCTGCATCATAAACTTTCGTCAAAAACAGACGTATCCACGCATATAGCGTTAGGAAACATCCATTTGATTTTTATAATGGGTGGGTATTTTTTAAACGAAAAGTTTGTTTAGAAGTATGCCCAAAATGAGTAGTTTGTTGGCAGTGGTGAAGAAAATGTATAGTTTGTTTTGTGGAAAATACACAAACGTCAAAACTTGTTTGTTTATGGTGAAAATGATAGTTCGTTTGATGGGGTGTTCGGTAAATAAATAGTTTGTTGGATAAAGCTGGAAATAATATTGATTGTTCTCAAATAAATCCCTACAATTCAAATTAATGCTCCCTTAATTTTACAACTTATAGACTTAGTCAAACACAACAAATGAAGCCCAGAGTCTCTCCATTTTCAGAAACTGCAGTAATCTAGACTTGCAAACTATTATACACTTGCATGGGCTCTTTTGGATATATTTGTTTCGGGGTCTGAGATAGACTTATGTACGTCAAACACAGACGTCTTCAACACCCCGCCGATTTACGCCCAGTACTGGCGCATTCTCAGTAATTTCACACAGACCTACGTCAAGCACACATTTCTCCTTACATAACCACCCGTCAAATAGACACTGTTATTGCAGAGTCACGTCAAATATATACGTCGTTATAACTGAAATACTGTTCAATGATCCTTTAAACCAAACTCCGGTAAATAAAGACGAATTCTCACAGACTTACATCAAGTCACGGACCTATTTAACATATAGATAGGTGATCAAATGAAGAGTTCCTTTCTGTCAAATACGCACACGCGTCTCCTTACAAATACAGACGGTTAAAGCCAGCTGGCACTGACACGGAATGCACATGTAGAAAGTAGCAACTTTCCCGCTTTAATATGGTCTGAGATTTGAACGTTCGTCTTTTGAAAAATCTTGTTACATACGTGGAGGTATACAGTTTATACCACACAGATGCCGGAGCAGTGGCGGTTTTATGATAATTAGATACATTAATGATGGATGATTGTGTGCACTACCTGAAGGTTAAAGACGACACTGTGACTCTTACATGGCAGATGTTTCAGTGGCCTCTCCAGTCCAGAATAAAACGTCGTCTGTATGTGTATGTGGGCCTACGTATGTGACTGCCAAATTGCTGATACGACGACTAACAATAGTCGCATACTCGTACACTCACGTCCGCCAGGACTTAAACAATATTCAGTTATCGTACACTCACGTCCGACAGGGTTTAAACAATATTCAGTTACTCGTACACTCACGTCCGCCAGGACTTAAACAATATTCAGTTATCGTACACTCACGTCCGCCAGGACTTGAACAATATTTAGTTACTCGTACACTCACGTCCGCCAGGACTTAAACAATATTCAGTTATCGTACACTCACGTCCGCCAGGACTTGAACAATATTCAGTTACTCGTACACTCACGTCCGCCAGGACTTAAACAATATTCAGTTATCGTACACTCACGTCGGCCAGGACTTAAACAATATTCAGTTACTCGTACACTCACGTCCGCCAGGACTTGAACAATATTCAGTTACTCGTACACTCACGTCCGCCAGGACTTAAACAATATTCAGTTATCGTACACTCACGTCCACCAGGACTTAAACAATATATAGTTACTCGTACACTCACGTCCGTCAGGACTTAAACAATATTCAGTTATCGTACACTCACGTCCGACAGGGTTTAAACAATATTTAGTTACTCGTACACTCACGTCGGCCAGGACTTAAACAATATTCAGTTATCGTACACTCACGTCCGACAGGGTTTAAACAATATTTAGTTACTCGTACACTCACGTCGGCCAGGACTTAAACAATATTCAGTTACTCGTACACTCACGTCCGCCAGGACTTAAACAATATTCAGTTATCGTACACTCACGTCCACCAGGACTTAAACAATATATAGTTACTCGTACACTCACGTCCGCCAGGACTTAAACAATATTCAGTTATCTTACACTCACGTCCGACAGGACTTGAACAATATGTAATTACTTGTACGTTCATCACTGTTTCGGCAGAGAAGCGAGACTGGCGTTGATGTTTCATATGCTAGCTATATTCACGGCGGGGACACCAGATATAGGCTTCACATATTGTACCCATGCATGTGGGGAATTGAACCCCAGTCAGGGCTGCAGCACCGCCCACAAGACGACAGAAACAGGTTTGTTTGTATATTTTTCCAGGTGACAAAAATTCATTTTTCCAATACAAAAAGAAAATGAATCAATTAAACAGAACACCCTTGAATATTTTAAATGTTTATGTCTGTATATTGAATAATCAATTACAAATATTCATTTCGTTGCACAGATGTGATGCAGCTAAGCTGCATATTTGCGTAAAATATATATAATAAATCCCCATTGCGTAATTAATTTGGAGTAGTCGGCGTATTAATACGCATGAAGAAATAAACAAAATAATATTTCTTTACAGATCTTTATTTACTGAAGGTAATAAAGCCTAAAATGGCGCTACGTCTCTCTTTTTGTTAATCAGACATATTACCAGAGACCATATAATATAATCTATTATATGGTCTCTGATATTACATAGCTGGGCCAGCACACGAACAGATACAAATTAGAAGTCGTCTGAAACAGCATTGTAAGCAGATTAACAAAGAACATATGTCTTCTCAGAGTAGACACAATTTATGGATAACAGCTTCTTTAATTCATGTAAAGGCGACGTTTCGGTATAGATACGTCAACTTCTAAGTAATGCCTATCACACAATTTCATATGTCTTCTCATTGATGTGAAAGTACAAACAGATTAGACCCAAGGAAGTATTTATATTATTGAATACCCAAAGAAAACTATCAATACCTAATATGAACAATAACCTGTGAGTAAATATTTAATGGCTCATAACATTATCTGGAGCTCTTAGATACAAAAACAACGGGGATGGGAGGTAATGACAATTAAGACCAACATTTATGGAGGGTAAAACATATTTTTCAAATACACTCGTGTGGTAAGTAATAAAAGTATTGTTATTATATTGCATATTACTATGGGCCCCGCAGGGACATACATGTACAGTTCAGGTAGATTGTTTAATCATAGACACTTAATTAATACGGTATAAGGGACGTACATTCGTAAACCTATTGAAAGGAATCAATAAAATCAAGCTTAATTGAATATAACTGAAACGAAGAGTGAGATATTAAATGAATAAGTTAGTATTAATCTAATTAATTATTGAGAGATACGATTAATTAGTCTATATCAACAAGTGAATAAATAAGGTAGATCACTTGCTCAACCTAACCAAACTCACTCAACTTGTTTACGTCATTTGTTGACATCTGAATTTGCGCATGCGCGTGTGCTACTTCCTGTAAATTCAGCTGGACAAGGAGTAAGGGACTGACAGATCTTTTGGAATTACCACTCCTAATTTCATCCGTCCATATTATAGGTACGTGTGAGATATGTCACCATCCTGACTAGTATAAGTGAAAGGCTGGTATCTGAGTAAGATTGAGATAGAGGTTAAGCAGACGATCTCGTGCAGTAACTGTGTGACAAGTCCCTTGACTATGTCAACAAACATGGCCGACGACAGGCCGATTTTCGGGTAGAGTGACAATCAACAAAATATTGTCTTTAATATGACATCGATATCGCGGAGACAATTCATTATTGTAGAAAACAAATACATTTAGAACAATTTGCAGTACATTTCGTCATTGTACCTTTAGTCCCCACGTCTGGAGAATGTCAGGCACAAGAGTCGTGAACACACCACGACATCGTTTTGTGGAGTCTGGTGACAAAATGGACTTTTAATAATTTATGTAAGGTTAAAATACTGGAAGTAGTCCTAGTGCACTTTTCGGATTTCAGTTAGCACTGCGTGTGGGATCGAACTCACATTGCCAGCTTGAAGCAAACCTAGACTGACAAGATAATCTAATTTGCCAACATCCTAACACGGGAACATCGGCACTTGTTTTCCAAGTCATCAGCACCCGATTGTTTACCTTTATGTGCATGCACAGTACACATTTTCTCAGCGAAACTTGGTAAAAATTGTTCAGCATTTCTTCAAATAACAATGGATTAATTTGTTAAAGAGATAGCTAGCCCATACCCTACCTCATTACTAATCCTCCTAAGGATTGTAAAAGGTTGTCTAACCCTAAGGATCGTGCTGCCCAACCTTAAAGATTGTGAAGGGATGTTTGATGGGAAAGGGGTATCTTACCCTAATAATCATAAAAGGGACACTTTATCAGAAAGGGGATCCAGAGGCTAAGGACAGAGTTAGAGGTAACCTAACCTAACCCTAACTGCTAACACAACTAACCCTAAGGATCAAAGCGACAAGCAAGATCTGCGAAGCAAGAGTGGCAGCCTGATCCAATTAGCAATAAATAAGCTGCCCCTGGTAAACTGCATGTTTTCTTGCCCAGGCTCAGTTATTTTTCTGCAATGATGTAGCTTTGAAATTGTCTACTGCAATGTATAATGATGTAAAACAGCAAACGACATAATATTGAAATACTTTTTAACCATCCACCTTACAATGCCTGTGTGTGTTTACAGCCGTCCCCATGATGGACCCGATGGAGTGTGACCCGAGCCATGTGGAGTCCGAGGTGTGCGTCACACAGGACTCTGACAACATCTACAGTGGCCTCACCAACTTCAAGGTAGAGAAGAAGATCGGCAAGGGGCAGTTCTCCGAGGTCTGGAGGGCACTCAACCTCATCGACAACAGTATTGTCGCTCTCAAGAAAGTGCAAGTATGTAGTAGTCTATAGCCTGTAAGGGGTGGTTGGGTAGCCTAGAGGTTAAAGCGTTCGCTCGTCACGGCGAAGACCCGGGTTCGATTCCCGACATGGGTACAATGTGTGAAGCCCATTTCTGGTGTCCCCTGCCGTGATATTGCTGGAATATTGTTAAAAGCGGCGTAAAACCATACTCACTCACTCACTGTAGTCTGTAGTCTGTCAACAATATTGTAGTTCTAAGCATGTTAGGAAAGTCCAGGTAACCTCAAGCATGTTCGGTTGAGTCATAGGTAGCCAAGGTTATTATCATGATTATTTGGGAGGTTGGTGAGAAAACCATGTTTTCACTCGCAGTGCTCTACCTGAACAGTGGTAGTAGTTTGAAGTGGTTATATTGTCATAAATCGTCATGCCTTATACACATGTTATAGACATACATGGTTTGATTCCTTGTAGTTTAATTCCGACGACATTGTAAAATTATAAATGTGCGGTTGAAATAAGTTTCTGATGCCTGAAGGGCACACTTAGAAAACATAGTATGTTTGAAAATACCTTGTGACAATACTTTTTATAGAAAACCACAAAATATATGACAAACGCATGGGAAATGATGAACATATGAACATGTTTTATGTACAGTATGATTTGTAAATATTGACTTGGGTATTGAGAAATGAAAAAGGATATTATCAACATGATGAATGAGGCAAGCTTTCCAAATTACAGCTGTTTATTGTCTAGTCTTAGTGAAATGGCTATATGTTTTCTTGTAGTTGGCACACTATTATTCCATACAGCACTTTTAAACATATTTATAGTTGCCCTGTGACACACTTGAAAATAAAAATACATTTCTATCCTTGATGTGACTGATAGATCCCCGCTCTGTTGTAGATATTTGAGATGATGGATGCCAAGGCTAGGCAGGATTGCATCAAGGAAATCGATTTATTGAGGGTAAGTTCAGCTAGTTTGTGTAATATCTGTGTGTGTTGTAACTGGTGTATATCAGTATGGTCAGTGTCTGTTGTAACTGGTGTGTATCAGTGTGGGTTGTAACTTGTGGGGTGTATATCAGTGTGTGTGGTAACTGGTGTATCTGGTGTATATCAGTGTGACTGTTGTAACTGGTGTATACCAGTGTGTGTTGTAACTGGTATATACCAGTGTGTGTTATAACTGGTTTATATCAGTGTGTGTTGTAACGGGTCTATATCAGTGAGACTGTCAGTTGTAACTGGTGTATACCAGTGTGTGTTGTAACTGGTGTATACCAGTTTGTGTTATAACTGGTTTATATCAGTGTGTGTTGTAACGGGTCTATATCAGTGAGACTGTCTGTTGTAACTGGTGTATACCAGTGTGTGTTGTAACTGGTGTATACCAGTGTGTGTTATAATTGGTGTATATCAGTGTGTGTTGTAACGGGTCTATATCAGTTAGACTGTCTGTTGTAACTGGTGTATACCAGTGTGTGTTGTAACTGGTGTATATCAGTGTGACTCTGTTGTAACTGATATATATCAGGGTTTGTTGTAACTGGAGTATATCAGGGTTTGTTGTAACTGGTGTAGATCAGTGTGTGTTGTAACTGGTGTATATCAGTGTGACTCTGTTGTAACTGATATATATCAGGGTTTGTTGTAACTGGAGTATATCAGGGTTTGTTGCAACTAGTGTATATCAGTGTGGATTGTAACCATGGTAATTGGTGTATATCAGTCTGGATTGTAACTGGTGTGTATTAGCGTGGACAGTAACTGGTGTATATCAGTGTGGATTATAACTTGTGTATATCAGTGTGGATTGTAACTGGTGTTTATCAGTGTGGGTTGTAACTGGTGTATACCAGTGTGGGTTGTACATGTTGTAACTGGTGTATATCAGTGTGGTTTGTAACTGGTGTATATCAGTGTGGGTTGTAACTGGTGTATATCAGTGTTTGTAACTGGTGTATATCAGTGTGGGTTGTAACTGGTGTATATCAGTGTTTGTAAGTGGTGTATATCAGTGTGGGTTGTAACTGGTGTATATCAGTGTGTGTTGTAACTGGTGTATATCAGTGTATGTTGTAACGGGTCTATATCAGTGAGACTGTCTGTTGTAACTGGTGTATACCAGTGTGTGTTGTAACTGGTGTATATCAGTGTGTGTTGTAACTGGTGTATACCAGTGTGTGTTGTAACTGGTGTATATCAGTGTGACTCTGTTGTAACTGATATATATCAGGGTTTGTTGTAACTGGAGTATATCAGGGTTTGTTGTAACTAGTGTATATCAGTGTGTGTTGTAACTGGTGTATATCAGTGTGACTGTTGTAACTGATATATATCAGGGTTTGTTGTAACTGGTGTATATCAGTGTGGATTGTAACCATGGTAACTGGTGTATATCAGTGTGGATTGTAACTGGTGTATATCAGTGTGGGTTGTAACTGGTGTTTATCAGTGTGGGTTGTAACTGGTGTATACCAGTGTGGGTTGTACATGTTGTAACTGGTGTATATCAGTGTGGTTTGTAACTGGTGTATATCAGTGTGGGTTGTAACTGGTGTATATCAGTGTTTGTAACTGGTGTATATCAGTGTGGGTTGTAACTGGTGTATATCAGTGTTTGTAAGTGGTGTATATCAGTGTGGGTTGTAACTGGTGTATATCAGTGTGTGTTGTAACTGGTGTATATCAGTGTGGGTTGTAACTGGTGTGATGTTACACTAATTTGTCTATAATACAAAGGGATGACTAGTCGTGCACTGATGGATCATGTTATTAATTTGCCTATCGGTTATATCCCAAAATTTGATTATTTATGATGTGATTTAGTTTTAGCCTTTAAAGTTTGAAAACAGTCTTGAAGAGGTCTTAAATGTAGTCGCTCAAGTTTTTTATGAACCCTAGCATTACATATGTATCAGTACAATTGTTACTTGCAGCAACTTAATCACCCAAATGTCATCAAATACCTGGCCAACTTTATTGGTAACAATGAGCTGAACATCGTGCTGGAGCTGGCGGATGCTGGGGACCTGTCTAGGATGATCAAGGTATGGAGTTTTGAGACGGTTGTAAGAACATGTGTTTTTTATGCACAACATTCATAGAGATTATTATACAAGCATGTGTGTCATACTGATTTTTTGAAATGAGTATCAGAATTCTTGTATTTCCCAAGCCTCAGCAAGTTTCATAAAATCAGTATGACGCACATGTGAGTGTAATAATTTCTTTATTACTTTATTTCTTATCCTTTTGAGCTCACCTTTAGAAAAATGCTCTTATCACCACCACTGTCCTAGAAAACTACAATTTGTCGAATGACGTCAACAACCTTCAGCTTTGACATTGTTTCTAGTGTGACGTCATTCCGACCTAACGTCACAATAAGATTTGAATGATGTCCAGATGACAGGAAACAATGCACATGTGCGCAAGAAGTAATATTTGCACCAGTGCACATACAATTTGTAGGAACTCAGGTATTTCTAACCCTATGGGTAATATAGGTTATTTCTAGCTGTTCCATATTTTCCAGTGGGGATGTTATTCCTTGGTGGTGAAAGGTATTTGACGGCACTTTTACACCACTCTTTTGTTACCAGTGATAGACTTCTCATGTACAGAGAATATTTTTGTCTCCTGATCATGTTCCTATTTCTTGTTCAGCACTTTAAGAAGCAGAACCGCCTCATCCCTGAGAAAACCATCTGGAAATACTTTGTGCAGATCTGTAGTGCCCTTGATCATATGCATTCCAGGAGGATCATGCATAGAGGTAGGTCTACACAGATATATCATGAAATCATGCATAGTGGGTGGATACTGTAGATATATATGCAGGGATCTCTCACAGAGGTGGGTGTGTACACTGGAAATATACTAAGCAAACATGGCAAAAAATCTCCGGAAAAGTGGTTTTAGGTGTTCATCAATGTCATTGACCAAGGTTCAATATGGCATGTGTGGCACACATGGAACAGCAGATTTTCAAGGTGAAGGTCATCTGTTCTCAATATCTTGCATGGCCACCATTAGAATTGACTGGCATCGTCATCCCAAGGAAGCAATCAGCATGATCAGAACTTGACTTGTGGCCTGGGAAATGTTCACCCATTCTGCCTGCAGTGCTTGTGCCAAGTGTAGATTCTGTTGTTGTTGTTGCTGACGTTTTCGCAGTCGTTGATCCAGTTCATCACACCATAAATGTCTGATTGGGTTTAAATTTTGGAGACATGGAGGGCCATGGATGTTGTGATTCTTGAAAAAGGCTGTTGTCAGTCTTGCCCTGTGAGGTCGGGCATTGTCTTGTCTTGTTGGAAAATAATCAATCTCATAAAAATTAGACCTCAATTCTCACTACGGCTTAACAAAGATTTGAGGACATCCCATTAGGGGTCACGTCAGAACGGCCTTTCATCCGACCAATCAGAGCATCGCTTACCAGATTATGAAAGTGACAGTCGGAATGTGATTTCGAATCATGCAACCTCGAAAACTTTAACTCCGAACGATAGTTACAGGTTTAACGACTGAATCCATACAATGTAGACCATCTATGAGCCGTTCCAGAATGTTCTTTTGTTCGGGTTTCAAATTCGCAATCGAGAATTTGTCATAATATGTTTTGAAGCGTAGTCGCCAATTTGAAATTAGTGCCGTAAAGCACGAGAAAGCTGCCTTCTGATTGGTCATTCCATTGGTCGGTCTGACGTGACCCGTAATGGGATGTCCTCAGATCTTTGTTTAGCTGTAGTGAGAACTAAGATCTGATTTTAATGAGATTGGAAAATAATGTTTGTTTGTTGCATGATGGGAAGGACATCAGTTAAATTCCCCCAAACCTGCACCAAGCCTGTTCTACCAGTGTTCTATCAGATGACTGCCCACATCATCACACTTCCACCACGAAATCTGTCTAGTTCCTGTATGCAGTTTCATGCATAACGTTCCCCGCGACGCCTGTAAACACAAGGTCTACCATCTGCATGGCGAAGCATAAAGTGTGACTCGTCACTTAACCAAATATGTCTCCATCGCAAATGTGGCCATACACTGTGTCCTAAACACCATTGACAACAAAGCCGACAATGCAAGTCCGTCAAAATGACACCTCGGACTGGTCAGCTAGCCTTCATACCTTCAGCAGGAAAACAGTTCCTCACTGTCTGAGCTGATTTCCCACTCAATCTTAGTATTGCTGTAGTCGGAGATGTGGCCGTTGTGGTTCTATCACGTAAACAACAAACTCGCTGTGCAGAGTTGCGTTCCTTCGAATGAAGTCATACATCATATCATACTACATTATACCATACTATGATTCTACTATCAAGTATTATGTTTCAGACATCAAGCCAGCCAACGTTTTCATTACTGCTCAGGGTGTTGTCAAACTTGGTGACCTTGGTCTTGGTCGATTCTTCAGTTCCAAGACAACTGCAGCACATTCCCTGGGTAGGTACAATGTACACAGCTGCAGCAAATTCCCTGGGTAGGTACACAGGTGCAGCACATTCTCTGGGTGTGACACATTTCCTGGGTAGGTACACTGTAGACAGCTGCGACACATTTCCTGGGTAGGTACACAGCTGCGACACATTTCCTGGGTAGGTACAATGTACACAGCTGCAGCACATTCCCTTGGTAGGTACACAGCTGCAGCACATTCTCTGGGGAGGCACACAGCTGTGACACATTTCCTGGGTAGGTACACTGTAGACAGCTGCGACACATTTCCTGAGTAGGTACACAGCTGCGACACATTTCCTGAGTAGGTACACAGCTGCGACACATTTCCTGGGTAGGTACACAGCTGCGACACATTTCCTGGGTAGGTACACATCTGCGACACATTTCCTGGGTAGGTACAATGTACACAGCTGCAGCACATTGCCTGGATAGGTACACAGCTGCAGCACATTCTCTGGGTAGGCACACAGCTGTGACACATTTCCTGGGTAGGTAGACAGCTGCAACACATTTCCTGGGTAGGTACACATCTGCGACACATTTCCTGGGTAGGTACAATGTACACAGCTGCAGCACATTCCCTGGGTAGGTACACAGCTGCAGCACATTCTCTGGGTAGGCACACAGCTGTGACACATTTCCTGGGTAGGTACACTGAAGACAGCTGCAACACATTTCCTGAGTAGGTACACAGCTGCTACACATTTCCTGGGTAGGTACACAGCTGCGACACATTTCCTGTGTAGGTACGCAGCTGCGACACATTTCCTGGGTAGGTACACAGCTGCGACACATTTCCTGTGTAGGTACGCAGCTGCGACACATTTCCTGGGTAGATACACAGCTGTGACACATTTCCTGGGTAGGTACACAGGTGCTACACATTTCCTGGGTAGGTACACAGCTGCGACACATTTCCTGGGTAGATACACAGCTGTGACACATTTCCTGGGTAGGTACACAGGTGCTACACATTTCCTGGGTAGGTACACTGTAGACAGGTGCAGCACAATAGTTGTCATGTTTCCTGTCCTGAGGTTTTGATAAGTACGCTGATGTTTATGTTGTTAGTAAGGTATATGTTTTTGTTGCAGTGGGGACACCATACTACATGTCTCCAGAGAGAATTCATGAAAATGGCTACAACTTCAAGTCTGACATTTGGTCACTGGGCTGTCTACTGTATGAGGTGATGATATAGTCTGATAGTACGACCCACACTGACACTGACAGTGCCCTGTGTGTTTTTGTTATCACTACATTCCTGCTGTGTCTTGCTCTCAGTAATGTAACCATGGTGACCTGTGTTGCCAGTCCTTCTGTCAGTGTCAAGTGTTTGATATTTTTACAATTTATCATTCATAGATATTTACTTACTATTTACATGCTATGTCTGTGTGATAATGAGTTGTCTCCCTTGCTTCCAGATGGCAGCACTACAGTCCCCGTTCTATGGAGATAAGATGAACTTGTACTCGCTGTGTAAGAAGATTGAATCCTGTGACTACCCACCGCTGCCATCTGACCACTACTCCCGCGAGGTGAGATACATGTGTTCGCAGGTGCCCCCTAGCCAGGGGCTCCCAGTGGCCAATAGACCCGTGAAAATGTTACAATGTATCTTCAGCAACCCATGCTTGTCGTAAGAGGCGACTAGCGGGATCGGGTGGTTAGGCTGTGATTTCACAGATACATGTCATCATATCCCAATTGCCTGGATCGATGCTCATGATTTCTATCACTGGATTGTCTGGGCCTGACTTGATTATTTATAGACCGCTGTCATATAGCTGGAATATTTATGAGTACGGTGTAAAACAACAAACGAAACAAAAACACAGGCCAATATTACTTGATGATATTAAAAATAGCATTTAGCTACAGTGGATGATGATTTATGTTGCAAATAGCTCTTATTGTAAAAGAATTTCTGTATACAAATTACTCTATGCTTGTTTCTGTGTATTACACTGACTTGAATTACTCTGTACAACACAGACTTGAATTACTCACAACTTGTTCCTGTCTATAACACAGACTTCCATCTTGTTTAAAGCTGCATCCATAACCTTATAACGCTACTTAAACATTGCTTGTTACAGCTGCGTCTGTGACACAGCTCCACATTCGTTGTTTATGTCTGCATCCATAACACCACTTCACAATTGCTTGTTTACAGCTGCGAGAACTGGTAGCCATGTGTATCAACCCAGACCCTGAACAGAGGCCCAGTATCGACTATGCGTACTCCGTGGCACAGAAGATGAACGTTCATTTCCAGCAGCAACAGAAACAGCAGGGTGCTGGTGCCACCACACAGGTGCAAAAGCCAGCTGTACCACAGCAGTTCCAGGCCATGGCTACGTCCACACCCCAGCAGTCCTGACTTAATTGTGACCTTGACCTTCATGTGTCATTTCACCTTGACCTTCACTTTAGAGGTCACTATCAGGTTACAGAGAGCTGTCTTTCACTTGTCTATGTGACCTTTTCCTTCATTGTAGGGGTCACTGTCGTTATGCAGGTCATGTTATTTAATCCACTGCAGTTGTGTAAAGTGTTAAATCCAGAGATTTTATTCAGACTGACATTGTTAGGTTGTAAATGGTCTATCTTTGTTGCCACGGTGTGAGCTGACCTGTGATGATCACTGTATTCACGTGACCGAGTATGGTCACACTCGGTCATGTCTTGCCCGGATATGTGTGTTGTATACACCAGCACTCTATACTTCCCTGCACCTAGATGGCAGGTCAAACCACCTCGCCAGTCAAAACACAACAACTGCTAGAATGCTTATTTGCTGGAAGTACACAATGACCTTCCTGCAATTTGAACCAATTGCTTCATTCATGATAGATCAGTCAGTTTTGCACAGTGGTCCTATTTATTTACTGCTTGCATAATATGGCCACTTGAACACTCCTAGATACGTCCTGATGTAGTCCCCCACCTCCAGAAAGTGGCCTCTCTGGGGCTGCTGCAGAACAGTTCTGATAACCATGGCAATTGATTTTGCTGTGTGGGTACATTCAACACATTAGTCATGGCTGGATGCAAGTGTTGTGTGGGTACATTCAACAGATTATCTGTGGTTGGATGCAAGTGTTGTGTGAGTACATTCAACAAATTTGCTATGGTTAGATGTAAGCGGTGTGTTGGTACATTCAACAGATTATATGTGGTTGGATGTAAGCGATGTGTGAGAACATTCAACAGATTATCTGTGGTTGGATGCAAGTGTTGTGTGAGTACATTCAACAAATTTGCTATGGTTAGATGTAAGCGGTGTGTTGGTACATTCAACAGATTATATGTGGTTGGATGTAAGCGATGTGTGAGAACATTCAACAGATTTGCTATAGTTGGATGTAAGCGTTGTGGGTACATTCAACAAAATTGCTGTGGTTGGATGTGAGCGTTGTGGGTACATTCAACAAATTTGCTGTGGTTGGATCAGAGCGTTGTGTGGGTACATTCAACAGATTATCTGTGTTTGGATGCAAGTGTTGTGTGGGTACATTCAACAGATTATCTGTGTTTGGATGTGAGCGTTGTGTGGGTACATTCAACAGATCATCTGTGGTTGGATGCAAGTGTTGTGTGGGTACATTCAACAAATTTGCTGTGGTTGGATGTGAGCATTGTGTGGATACATTCAACAAATTAGCTGTGTTTGGATGCATGTGTTGTGTGGCTCGGGCATCAGGCGGTAACACTTATTAACTGTGAGCTGTTTTGACAAATTAATTTGATTCTGATGATGTATTTGACTGATACTTCATGGGAAGATGATAAGCCTGTGAAATGACTGTTACGTTATTCCCATCCACTGTAGGCCTCCAGACACAGCACAGTATTATCCCAGTATTATTGTCGGCAAGGTTTTCCTGTAGAAGTTGGTACATCTGTCTGACACTTAGTTATCTCCCTTTCTTCCCTTGCTGCACAATGGTGCTGTGAGCACACCACCCTGTTAATTGTTCAGATTCATTGGGATAGTGTTAGGATGGACCAACCACAAATGGTCAGACGTGATCTGCCCAGAAGCTTTCCAGAAGTGGAAATATTTTACTTCTTGTAGGCCGTGATATTGCTGGAATATTGCATTAAGCAATGGCTGGTCTTATGGGTTTCACTGAACCGGTCCTAATGCATGTCATTGATCCCAATTGCGTGGATCGATGCTCATGATATCAATCACTGGATTGACTGGTCCAGACTCGATTATTTACAGACTGTGGTCATATAAATCTAGCTGGAATATTGCTGAGTGCAGCGTTAAACAACAAACAAACAAACAAATAAACACTTTATCGGTCCATTGTTTTCACACACCAGGGGCCAAGAGTTACCCCCCTTGAACCACCTGACTTGATTGGTTTGCTTTACATGTGTGCACACTGAGATGATGTTGTGTGGCAAGTTTTTCTTGTTTTATTAGTTATTTCTCTCATATTTATTTTCATCCTCTGTTGAACTAGCAGAGCAACCGACTTGGTGATGTTCGACTGATGCTGAGTTACTGCTTCTCTGAGAGTATTTATTTAGTTTGTTAATTTTAGCCAAAGATGGTCTTACCAGGTTGAAGTGATCGCTTTACGATCTGATCATCATCATAATCATAATCATGATTACTCAATAATTATTCAGAAGATGCCACATGATTGGAACACTTGTGCTCACCCGTGCAGGAGCTTTCTTCTGCAGAAACCGTCCATCGTCCATCGTGATTGTTCAGAAGCATTTTATATTATATTTTACATATCATCCTTTAGATGTTTGACATGTCTTATATTTAGATATTGTTGTTTTTCTAGAAATCCGTCCATTGTTTTGTCACTTTTGTGTTATTTTTGTGCTGTTCAGCAAAAGTATTAAGTTTAGGTGGAGTTGCCTCCCCTGCCTGTAACTAGGTTTGAGCTGTAGTCATCCACAGCTTTACACTCTGGTCACCAAGGCAACGCATCTATTTGTATGACAGGCGTATTGTACTTGTCTCTTCAGTTGCCAAGAAGAGTATTTACTTAGCAAGCAATAGTTCTTAGCACACAGTGTTAAACCTTCAATAGCACTAATGTAGCAAGTTGTTGAACTGCCAATGGGCCATTAAAAGGAATTGGGTCTTGTGGTACAGACCCCACATTCTACTGTCTACATAACTACACAGATGACAGATCAAATATGTGATATCTCCGAGTACAGTGGACTTTCCTTATCTCATCCTAAACGTCACCCTTAATCTGTTGGGGGAATGGGTGGCCCAGTCATCTAAGGCGCCTCAATTTGCTGTGCAGAGTTGCGTCCCTTGGGCACCCCAGAAACCTACAATTGTTGGTTCGAATCCAGGTTCGCCCCAATTATGTTTCTAGGTTTGTCAGCACTATACCCGTGCTCGTGGGTTTCACCGGAGTGGTAAACGTCAGACCTGCATCACTTCGGGTTTTCCTCCCACATTAAGCTGACACGCTGTGATATAACTGGAATACTGTTAAAAGCGGCGTTAAACCCAACTCACTCACTCACTCACCTTTATCTGTTATTCCTCAAATATTCTAATATGTTCTCTCCATTCTTATGATAATTATCCTGGGCTCATTAGGGACCAACCATTTGATATTTAGGGGTGGATGTTTGGGATTTTGTATGGCGACTAGATATTTTTTCAGCTACAGCTGAAAAAATGGATAGTGGTTTAATCAAATGTATGAGCCAAAATATATTTTTTAACAAAACCTTGCTACAATGTGCTTATTGTAGCAGACAGAACCTTTTTACCCCAAAGTCTGAAGCATAATTATTTTTTTCAAGCATTTTCTGTAACAATTTTGTTGTTGATGAAATAACCCCCAAATATCTAATGGGCGGTCTTTTAGCAGGATAATTATGTTTGGGAAGGGAATTCACCACCTCCCTTCTCTCATCAGTCCTTAGAATTTCTCTCACACTTGATTGTTATGTGATAGATGACTGTACTTAGGGTTGTGTAATTTCAACCAGACTTATGAGGAAGGGGTGGTGGGAATGGGTACAGGGTATATAGCCAGAGATACAGGGGATAAAAGAGGATGTTATTCCGCAAGCCCTGGTGTTCTTGTGTCCCCTAATATCTGCTGGTCCCCAGACTGTTGCTTCTCTCTGAGATGAGGGGAGTCCACAGTATGATTGGAATTTAGCTTTAGTTCAAGCATGTTAGTTTGCTGTTGTTAACCTCGTCTGTGAAGACATTGAATGTTGCCCTGTGTTTGTTGTGAATACAGTTGTTGTGTTATCCAGTCACAGATGAAACAAGCACTTATTGTTATTAGGTGTCTAACAGATATATTGTACATAGAAAGTATTGTATTGTCACCCCTTTCCCACCTCCATACCCTGGTGTCACTGGACACCGCATGTTATTGTCTGGTCAATGATACCAATATGACACCTGGTTTTTCACCATCCATCAACACATACTTTGTCCTGGTGTCATTGTATTTCCGTAGCCTTGATACATTCTGTCTGGTTTCACTACATTTTTTCTGGCCACCATCTGACTACAGAAGGGAGACACATCTTCAGCCTGCTGGTAAACAAAATCGCCAACTTTTCTAGCTGAATTTTAAAAATTTATTTTGACCTAAACTGTACCCTTCCACAAGCTCTCGGCTGCTGCCTGCTCCACTTTCTTCCCACAAGACATTCCTGAACTATTTATGTTTAACCTCAGATTGGTGTCATAGGCGGATCCAGAGTGGTGTCCACTTAATGTAGTATGTTGTAGGCAGTAAAATTATGGGAGAGAGGATTTTGATATTTTGGACACCTTCCCTTGGGCGTTTATCGATATTCACTCACTGCTACTGCCCGGAGCCGTTCCACAAAGCGGTCTTAGCTCTACGACTGTAGTAAGTATATGTTAAAGTATGTGAGTAAGATCGTTTTATGGAAAGACTCACTGGGCCTGGTAACAAACACTACTATGACTGCAATTCCGTGTTGAAGTATGGGAGTTACCATGAGCGATCGCTTCGTGACACATGGCAGACCAGATTGCAGGTGACTCCTCTGCTGTAGTCGGGCGGTGGCGCCATCGTGTGATATGTCATGTAGAAATACCACAGAGTGTATTGCTCAACCAAGGAAATGATTCCACAAACATTCCAGCGTCAGTTACATATACCACAGGCCATGAAAGCCTCTCCATCCATCCCATGTATACACTCAACTAGGATATAAGGAAGGATGTAGCGAATAGTAGACTATTAGTAACCAAGATACACCGAAGTAAATGTCATTGTTCACGTGTTGCTTATTTTGGGGAGTTCACTTATGTCCATTCTAATCTAATGTTGATGTGAAGATATGAGTTGAAGATTCTATGTTAAAAATATCACAAATTGCACGGAATGGCATACTTTTCTCTGCATTGAAACCTGTCAAATGCTGTGAACCTAGAGTGTCTGCGTGATGTAGGTACCCTCCCGGGGTGCGTCAGGATGGAGAGGGGGTTGCTGTGGGTGTAATCTATGAATAAATATAATACAGGAAACATCCACTTGTGTTTGTGTATGTCTGTGAAGAGATTCATTGGCGTGGCCCATGGTCTAAGACGAGGGTCATCGTACCCCGATGGCGGGGCCGTTCCACTTTATTTCAATGAATCTCGAATACTACTTAACCCAAATATCAAGAGCACATCTAGAATTCAATCTACAAGACAGAATGTCGGTCGCAGGCAACCATACCTACTTAGGTCAAAAAAGGGTGCGATACTTGTGCAAAACAATCGAATATATAAAGATTTGTTTTAAATGTTGAATCCGCGTACCAATTGCGATAATTTTTGCGTCCCGCGCACCACACGAATAAGTCCCGAATACCATAAATAGACCCCGAATCCCGCGTACCAAAATGGGGTTGGCAGCCCATTCAATGCTTGTCTGCCTGTTTTAGAGTCGATAACATTTTGTTGCAAGAGTCTACAGAAATGAGGGACAGGTAGTCGGGCTTTGTGGGCTGGGATGGTTGTGTGTCACCGTACTCTCGATGGTTTGTCGATGATATACTGGGTCCATATTGGCAAGGATGCTTTTTTCATTTGAAAGCATTCTAGATTCGCCCCAATTACGAGTATTTGTTTGTCCTAAAATACCTGCTCGTGTTGAGCAATGTTTTAGCAAAATCACAGCAAGGGAAACCCAACGGTGTATCCATGTGTTAGTCGAAAACCCTGGTTAAGAGGGGTTTATCGTCTACCCTACCGCCAACCACCAGTGTGAAACACGGGGCCCCCACACACAATCCCCTGATCCCACGACAAGTGGTGGACGTTGCTCATGATATCAATGACTGCTGTCTGTCTGGATATAGTCTGTCTGGAGTTCGGAAGCTGGGTGGTTCGATCCCCGGCTGGTCATACCAAAATACATAAAAAGATGGTACTTATTGTTTCCCTGTCTGGGGCTCGGCATAAAGGGGATAACACAAGGACTGGTCGGCTCGGAGTCTTGGGTGGGGTGTCCATGTTAAACTGCGGCATGGTATTTCAGTGGGCTAACACTACAAAACCGGCATTACACCTGACTGGTACAAGATGCCACACACACGTGAATGCACGTCCCTATGAAAGTAGACCCGTGAAGATTACGGGGTAGAATAGGTCTTCAGCAACCCATGCTTGCCGTAAAAGGTGACTAACGGTATCGGGTGGTCAGGCTCGCTGACTTGGTTGATGCATGTCATCGATCCCAATTGCGTGGATCGATGCTTATGATATTAATCACTGGATTGTCTGGTCCAGACTCGATTATTTACAGACCGCCGTCATATAGCTGGACTATTGCTGAGTGCGGCGTTAAACAACAAACCAAAACCCTATGAAAGTGCAGTAATTTTGAATCTACGCTAAACCCCATTTCACCTCATAATACGAATCAACCCTTGAAGATCCGGGGTAGAATAAGTCTTCAGCAACCAATGCTTACCGTCAGAGGCGACTAACACTGACTTGGTTGATGCATGTCATCGTATTCCAATTGCGTGGACCGATGCTCATGATAGCAATCAATGGATTATTTACAGACCACCGTCATATAGCTGGAATATAGCTGAGGGTGGCGTTAAACAACAAACAAACAAACATAATATCAATCACTGGTCTGGTCCAGACAAGCGTACAAAACATTTAAAGAAAACCCGCAGTATATCAACCTATCATATGCAATCACACCTGTGTGCTTCCTACATGTCCAGACCCGTGAAGATCCGGGGTAGAATAGGTCTTCAGCAACCCATGCTTGTAAGAGGCGACGAACGGGACCGGGTGGTCAGGCTCGCTTACTTGGTTGATGAATGTCATCATATCCCAATTGCGTGGATCGATGCTCGTGATAGCAATCACTGGATTGTCTGGTCCAGGGCCCCGTTCCACAAAGCGATCTTAGCACCAAGGTGTTCTTAAGTCCCATACTTTAACATAGGTTTACGATCGTCGTAGCGCTAAGATCGCTGTGAGGAACGGGGCCCAGACTGGATTATTTACAGACCGCCGTCATATAGCTGGAATACTGCTGAGTGTGGCGTAAAACAACAAACCAACCAAACCAAAATCCTACATGTCTAACAGTACGACTGGCACCCCAGTCTCCACCAAATACGACGCAACACTGACTAACTTGGAATGAATGTCTTTAATGAGGACATAACTATACGTCAAGATAGTAGATGTACGCGGGGGACATCATATGACGCCACGTTTTAGACAGGAATAGGATCATACAACTACAACGAATTATTTATACACAACTGAGTAGGTAACGCCCCACACATACACAACTGTCCCCATCTCCCTGTACGAAGGGGACAACATGGCGGCAGTGACGTATCATGTCACATGACACTCGGGACAAAGTGTAGCAATCGCCATCTGTGACTAACTCCCCATTGAGGGGTTAACCATTGTACATTACCTTACTTCTAAAAAAGGTCAAATTCTGGATTCCAGACTTTAGCGAAGAGCGGACGTAAATGACGTATGGGCGTGGCTGATGTCGGATCAGGAGCACTGACATGTCACGTGATCGCTCAATGTGATGTCATCAACTCACAACCAATAGGAAGGTCAGATATTGGGTGTATATCAGGTGCTGTAGGTGTCCATTGACAAACCTTAAGCCGTGACGTACAATGGCATTATAATGATAATAAATATTATACAACGAATACTGAAAACAGTTCCTCCATCTCGGGGGGAAAAGCTGTGTATACACCAGCATAAGAACCCAAGAATATATGCCTGGACACAACCGGGCAAGGTGGTCATCGCCGCAGTTCGCTTGGACTCCTCACATCGACGTCAAGCAGTACCCAAACGTATACTCGGAACCGTGGCTGCGCTGTGAGGAGCATTGCTTGTTTTCCGGGCACTTGCACAACACCCGGCTCTCACGTCGTGTGGAGTTCCGGAAGTTGAGCTGACAGGTGGCGCTGCCTCGCGAGGGATGGGCACAGTCCGGCTGTGGACAAAACAAAGTCAATCAAGAAAACCCTGGGCATAAACATGGCCCCAAAACCCAACACCAACCCGCCTGTTAACCCCAACCCGCCAATCATTATTGTAGCGAAACTGTCCAAACGTAAACGCTTGTTTCAAGGCGTCTTTAAATAACACACCCGATTTCTTTCATAAGTAGACAAAATATTTCACATTACACCATAAAACAGAGTCCTGCTTTGAATAAATTCACAATGTATATATTTCCAATTCAATTATCCACAATCCCGCGTAGGCATTTTACAAATTGACCACAGTGTTTGGTTGTTTTCAGTGCTTGTTACACAAGGCACCTCGGCACGGGTGGCCCAGTCGTCTGAGGCGCCGCAATGCGCTGTGCAGAGTTGCGTCCCTTGGGCACGGCAGAAACCTGTGATAGTGGGTTCAAATCCCTGTTCGCCCCGTTTAAGTTTCTAGGTTTTTCAGCACCATACCCGTGCCCGTGGGTTTCACGAAAGCGATAAACATCTGAGACCTGCATCACTTCGGGCTTTCCTCCCACATTAAGCTGATATAACTGGAATACTGCTTAAAGCGGCGTTAAACCCAACTCACTTTGGTTACAATGATGAAAACCCGACGTTGCATGCAGCAGTCAACATTCTGTTATGGCGATATGTTCCGTTATTTTGTAATCAGTATAATTATCAAATTTAGCCAAGAAATAGACCACACGTACCATAGAACACACGAAGTTCTCGTGCCTTTCGTAACTTTCATACAGTACACTCTGGAGATGCAGAGGCCGGTTGTCCGAGCACCTGCAGTTGATTGATGTCACTTCCGAAGGCAGAATGGATCTACCCTTGAGCGATAGTGCTACCTCGTGGGGCTGACAGATTCGCTCGGCGTGGACTGTCTGACAGAACTTGAGCTGTAACGTTGTCTCCGAGCCTGCAAAATAGGCCACGTGACTTCAGCCTACCCAAAACATTTGTCTAATAACTATTGGTTCTAATAATGTCAGAAAAGATGACATTTTCACCACTATACACACGTATCTATTAAACTAAGCTACTCTTCCACAAGATCGGTACAAACTGCCTCAGTCAACACCGTATAAATAATATTAGACCACACCACACAGTGAACGTGGCCCAAGGAAAACACTACGCGGTCCTATTTAACAACACGGCGACAGTGTTATCTTGGTTTATACTACACGGAGACATTGTGTTATCTTGGCTTAAACAACACGGCGACAGTTTGTTATCTGGGCTTAAACAACACGGCGACAATTTTATATTGGTTTAACAACACGGCGACAGTGTGTTATCTGGGTTAAACAACACGGCGACAGTTTGTTATCTGGGCTTAAACAACACGGCGACAATGTTATCTTGGTTTAACAACACAGCGACATTGTGTTATCTTGTTTTAACAACACGGCGACAGTGTGTTATCTTGGTTTAACAACACGGCGACAGTGTTATCTTGGTTTACCAACACGCAGACATTGTGTTATCTTGGTTTAATCAACACGCTGACAGCGTTTTTCCTGGGTTTAAAACAACACGCCGACAGTGTGTTATCTTGGTATAAACAACTCGCCGACTGTTTCCTATTTAGGATTTAAACAACACGCCGACCGTGTATTATCTGGGTTTATACAACACGCCAACGACATTGCGTAATCTGGGTTTAAACAAGACGGCAACAGTGTGTTATCTGGGTTTTTTAGACAAAACACCGACATTGTGTTATCTGAGTTTAAACAACACGCCGACTTTGTGTTGACCTGGGTCAAACATCTCGCCGGCAGTGTGATCTGGGTTTAAACCACACAGCGACCTGGCTATCGGACACCCGGGTATGAGAACCGGGAGACATAACGAATTATACCATCTTTAACCGGAGACCATATAATAGATCTATTATATGGTCTCTGCTTTAACAATTGTTATTGTGATATGTCATTGCACTTCTCTCATTAGAATTAATCAGAAAACTGCCACAATTAGCGAAAGCGACAACACACTTGTGGCTGATCTCCCTCCCCACAAGGGCAATAACACGCTGCGGCCTTGCCCAACTACTGACAAGGTCAGTGTCAATGGGAATTGTCGGGGGATGGCGAATACTAGAGATAATGGCGGCCAGCTCTTGGCGCCGAAAGAGGCCGGTCGACCGTTTACCCAGGGCCCTCAAATGTCCGCACATCGATACGACACTAATACCTTTGTCAATAGCATTAGCCACATCAATCTCCTGGAGACCCGGATGATAACCCTTGACCTCTTACTGTCAGCAGTTAAGTATTCTAACACCGGGGAGAGGAACATCAGTCCCTCTGACAAATATACATGACGTCACACGCAAGATCAACATGGTCGTTTAATGTGTACAATTGTCTGTAACAAATTGACGTCAAACAGACACCCGACATTGTACATATCACCCGGTATCTGACTCACATACAGTTGACGTCAGACAGACACCCGACATTGTACATATCACCAGGTGTCTGTCTCACATACAGCTGACATCAGACAGACACCCAACATTGCACAGATCACCCGGTGTCTGTCTCGCATACAGTTGACGTCAGACAGACACCCAACATTGTACATACGGTATCTGTCTCACATACAGCTGACGTCAGACAGACACCCAACATTGTACATACGGTATCTGTCTCACATACAGCTGACGTCAGATAGACACCCAACATTGTACATACGGTATCTGTCTCACATACAGCTGACGTCAGACAGACACCCAACACTGTACATATCACCCGGTGTCTGTCTCACATACAGTTGACGTCAGATAGACACCCAACATTGTACATATCACCCGGTGTCTGTCTCACATACAGCTGACGTCAGACAGACACCCAACATTGTACATATCACCCGGTGTCTGTCTCACATACAGTTGACGTCAGACAGACACCCAACATTGTACATATCATCCGGTGTCTGTCTCACATACAGCTGACGTCAGACAGACACCCGACATTGTACATACGGTATCTGTCTCACATACAGCTGACGTCAGACAGACACCCAACATTGTACATATCACCCAGTGTCTGTCTCACATACAGTTGACGTCAGATAGACACCCAACATTGTACATATCACCGGGTGTCTGTCTCACATACAGCTGACGTCAGACAGACACCCAACATTGTACATACGGTATCTGTCTCACATACAGCTGACGTCAGATAGACACCCAACATTGTACATACGGTGTCTGTCTCACATACAGCTGACGTCAGACAGACACCCGACATTGTACATACGGTATCTGTCTCACATACAGCTGACGTCAGACAGACACCCAACATTGTACATATCACCCAGTGTCTGTCTCACATACAGTTGACATCAGATAGACACCCAACATTGTACATATCACCCGGTGTCTGTCTCACATACAGCTGACGTCAGACAGACACCCAACATTGTACATATCACCCGGTGTCTGTCTCACATACAGCTGATGTCAGACACCCAGCATTGTACATATCACCCGGTGTCTGTCTCACATACAGCTGACGTCAGACACCCGACATTGTACATATCACCCGGTGTCTGTCTCACATACAGTTGACGTCAGACACCCAACATTGTACACATCACCCGGTGTCTGTCTCACATACAGCTGACGTCAGACAGACACCCGACATTGTACATATCACCCGGTGTCTGTCTCACATACAGCTGACGTCAGATAGACACCCATAATTTTACATACGGTATCTGTCTCACGTACAGCTGACGTCAGACAGACACCCATAAGTTTACATACGGTATCTGTCTCACATACAGCTGACGTCAGACAGACACCCAACATTGTACATACGGTATCTGTCTCACATACAGCTGACGTCAGATAGATACCCAACATTGTACATATCACCCGGTGTCTGTCTCACATACAGCTGACGTCAGATAGACACCCATAATTTTACACACGGTATCTGTCTCACATACAGCTGACGTCAGACAGACACCCAACATTGTACATACGGTATCTGTCTCACATACAGCTGACGTCAGACAGACACCCAACATTGTACATATCACTCGGTGTCTGTCTCACATACAGCTGACGTCAGACAGACACCCAACATTGTACACATCGCCCGGTGCCTGTCTCGCATACAGCTGATGTCAGACAGGCACCCAACATTGTACATATCACCCGGTGTCTGTCTCACATACAGCTGACGTCAGACAGACACCCAGCATTGTACATATCACCCGGTGTCTGTCTCACATACAGTTGACGTCAGACAGACACCCAGCATTGTACATACGGTATCTGTCTCACATACAGCTGACGTCAGACAGACACCCAGCATTGTACATATCACCCGGTGTCTGTCTCACATACAGTTGACGTCAGACAGACACCCAGCATTGTACATATGACTCGGTGTCTGTCTCACATACAGTTGACGTCAGACAGACACCCAACATCGTACATATCACCAGGTGTCTGTCTCACAAACAGTTGACGTCAGACAGACACCCAATATTGTACACATCACCGGTGTCTGTCTCACATACAGTTGACGTCAGACAGACACCCAGCATTGTCAAGCCGTTTCATACAGCTGACGCCCAACATAATACATATTATAGAAATAATAGACGTTATCAAGCGAGTTGGGATGGTAAATATCCTGTATTAATGACATTGTATTTAGCGAGGCTTTATTCCTAATAAAGGATGTTTACTATTCCAATACACACAAGCGTGACAACCTCTTTATCATATAATGTCATTCTTAATTAACATTGTCGAAAACGGTATTCTCATCTTTCACAAAAAATACCCAGACATTGCAAATTTACTGGAATGTGCGCATTGATATTTCACGTGACATGGTCAGTGATTAGCCAGTCGGACAGTTAATGTAGTTAAACTGAAAATTGCTTTTGTAGACAGTGGCGTAACTACTTTAAGGCAAAAAAACACAATTGCCAACACATAACTTTTCAACGTCAGTGATCGCCTTTCGCGGCAATCCATTGGTTCGCCCGCCAGAGTAACTGCCCTTTGCTAAAGGGAGGCTACTCTCGTTTATGAGACGTCGCGTTCGTTTAGATCCCCCCCCCCCCCCCCCCCCCCCCCCCCCCCCCACACACACACACACACAGAGACAAAGCGAAACAAGGTAAAACATTACGACCAAATACGACTGTTTTAAATTCGGGAAAAGACCCCCAACTTGCACAAATCTATAGGATGGTACGCTATATTATCGCGGTAGTTAATTTCGTAATGGCGCACGCTTACAGACCTATTACAAATATGGTCATACGCAAAATGTTTCTTGTTCCTTGTTAATTTTTATAACACATTAATTAGGATTGATCGATGCTGATTTTCTTTACCGAGTTCTTTACCTGGTATTAGCGACTCAAGGGCGGACAACTCTATATTATCGCGGTGTGGCTATTTTGTGGTGTGATACGTGTGGATTATGTTATTTACATCACTTCCTCTTTTGGAATACGCATAATCAGTGTACGTACGACCTTGGTGGGGCCAAGGGACTTCGCTTAATTTCGTCAATTTCGAATAGATGTAGGGGAAATCCCAACTTCAAAAACATCCCAGAAACTATAATAAAAAAAGTTAACGTGTATGTCTGTCCTGTATTCGATCAAACGATGAAATATCGTGCTAAGATTTGCATAAATAAACAGTCAACAGGGGGTGTGGATTGCGAGATTTACCGATACCACGATAGAGACCGCGATAATATAGAGTCATACCATACATTCTTTAAGCACAGTCTCAGATATGGAAACTGATCCCGCTGGCCTTCTCGCTAACATCGCTTCGCAATTTATGTCTTTAAAGTTGTATTCACTGATTTTCGATATTTTAGACAATTATTTTGACATGATTCAATAATATGTCCAGATCCCCGATGGTCAATTCTGACTCTATCTTCGATATGCAAAGGCAACGCCATGTTTCTTTGTAAACACTGAAAGTAGTAGACTAGCTACTACCTGACCAACACCGTTTTATCCGTTGTCTTTATCCTGCCGAGAAACCTACCCATTATACTATAAATATCGTTCATCGTGTCAACCTGTGCCTGGTGTTGTGGGATAACAACTGATTGTTCTTCAAAATATCGACCACTGTGCTCGTCTCTATTGCAGTGTTGACATTGTCGACATCTAGATTAAAGAACATGCATGACTTACGGCAACTGTTGAGGTGTCTAACATATCACCTAGATCACTTAGCACGTTAATGGTGGTATATAAAGACGGGTTTTACTTTACACGTTTAGTGGTGGAATGTGGGGACGAGCTTACTTAACACGTGTGTGGTGGAATATGGTCATGGATATTGTGACGAGCTTACCTAACACTTGCGTGCTGGAATATAGTGATGGATATGGTGACGAGCTTACTTAACACGTGCGTGCTGGAATATGGTCATGACATGGTGACGAGCTTACCTAACACGTGCGTGCTGGAATATGGTCATGGATATTGTAACGAGCTTACTTAAAACGTGCGTGCTGGAATATGGTCATGACATGGTGACGAGCTTACTTAACACGTGCGTACTGGAATATGGTCATGACATGGTGACGAGCTTACTTAACACGTGTGTCATGGAATACAGTAATGGATATGGTGACGAGCTTCCTTAACACGTGTGTCATGGAATATGGTGACGAGCTTACTTAACACGTGTGTGCTGGAATATGGTCATGACATGGTGACGAGCTTACTTAACACGTGCGTACTGGAATATGGTCATGACATGGTGACGAGCTTACTTAACACGTGTGTCATGGTATATAGTGATGGATATGGTGACGAGCTTCCTTAACACGTGTGTCATGGATTATGGTGACGAGCTTACTTAACACGTGTGTCATGGTATATAGTGATGGATATGGTGACGAGCTTCCTTAACACGTGTGTCATGGATTATGGTGACGAGCTTACTTAACACGTGTGTGCTGGAATATGGTCATGACATGGTGACGAGCTTACTTAACACGTGTGTGGTGGAATATGGTCATGACATGGTGACGAGCTTACTTAACACGTGTGTCATGGTATATAGTGATGGATATGGTGACGAGCTTCCTTAACACGTGTGTCATGGATTATGGTGACGAGCTTACTTAACACGTGTGTCATGGTATATAGTGATGGATATGGTGACGAGCTTCCTTAACACGTGTGTCATGGATTATGGTGACGAGCTTACTTAACACGTGTGTCATGGATTATGGTGATGAGCTTACTTAACACGTGTGTGCTGGAATATGGTCATGACATGGTGACGAGCTTACTTAACACGTGCGTACTGGAATATGGTCATGACATGGTGACGAGCTTACTTAACACGTGCGTGCTGGAATATGGTCATGACATGGTGACGAGCTTACTTAACACGTGTGTCATGGTATATAGTGATGGATATGGTGACGAGCTTCCTTAACACGTGTGTCATGTAGTATGGTGACGAGCTTACTTAACACTCGTGTGCTGGAATATGGTCATGACATGGTGACGAGCTTACTTAACACGTGCGTACTGGAATATGGTCATGACATGGCGACGAGCTTACTTAACACGTGCGTGCTGGAATCTAGTGATGGGTCAAACTTACCGCGTGGTGTGCGGAGGAATCTGGTGACGGATCTCTCCGGGTTATGGTCCCACTCAGTCGGGCACGTGCCGCCTTCACACAGACACATGCTGCCGCTACGGGTCTCCTGCTTCAACGTCCCGTTGCCAAAGTATTCACGCACCAAAACCTTGCAGGGCTTGTTCTCCCGGGGACATCGCGGCAGTTGCTGCAAGAGTTCGAAAATATTAGCAGAAGGACACATGCACTTACAACGGGTTGATAGCAGTTTGTAGCGGATGTAAAGCGTGATGTGGCGGGTACGGGTAGATTTACGGATGAAGCGAAAGGAAGGCAGGGAATAGGGGAGGAAAGGCGTGTAGCGAATGGATAGCAGGTTGTGGCGGGTTGATAGCAGGTTGTGGAGGGTTGATAGCAGGGTGTGGCGAGTTGATAGCAGGGTGTGGCGGGTGGATAGCAGGTTGTGGCGGGTTGATAGCAGGGTGTGGCGGGTAGATATCAGGGTGAAGCGCAAGGAATGCAGGGCATAGGTGAGGAAAGGCGTGTAGCGAATGGATAGCAGGTTGTGGCGGGTTGATAGCAGGGTGTGGCGGGTTGATAGCAGTGTGTGGCGGGTTGATAGCAGGGTGTGACGGGTGGATAGCAGGGTGTGACGGGTTGATAGCAGGGTGTGGCGGGTGGATAGCAGGGTGTGACGGGTGGATAGCAGGGTGTGACGGGTAGATAGCAGGTTGTGACGGGTGGATAGCAGGGTGTGAAGGGTCGATAGCAGGATGTAGCGGGTTGATAGCAGGGTGTGACGGGTGGATAGCAGGTTGTGGAGGGTTGATAGCAGGGTGTGGCGGGTTGATAGCAGGGTGTGACGGGTGGATAGCAGGGTGTGACGGGTGGATAGAAGGTTGTGGCGGGTAGATAGCAGGGTGTGGCGGGTTGATAGCAGGTTGTGACTGGTTGATAGCAGGGTGTGACGGGTGGATAGCAGGGTGTGACGGGTGGATAGCAGGGTGTGACGGGTGGACAGCAGGTTGTGACGGTGGGATAGCAGTATGTGACGGGTGGATAGCAGGATGTGACGGGTGGATAGCGGGTTTTAGCAGGCAGTGAGTAGCGGATGGATAGCAGGGCATGGCGGGTGGAATGCAGGGTGTGGAGGGTCGGTGGCATGAAGTGCATGGTCGGTTGGGTGGCAAGATGTATCGGTTGGAAGTATGCATTGGATGGATGTATGGAAACCTACGTACTTAGCGGTTTCCAGCTGAGATTATTTATTGTAGTGATTGCGCAACTACAGTTTACGTCTTATAACCAAGTTGTCACTGTAGTTTCATGTCATCAGAACAATGGTAACCGGTCATGCGGGTGTCTCGGTTCTTGTCCCCAGCGCCCTCTGGCGGCAGAAAGACCGGGATGCACCAATCAAGGGTTAATTACTCGGCCCAAAACGATCGTCATGGAGTTAATAATTAATTACTTGTGAACTGATTGGCAATGGGGGCGTATTTGGACGTGATTTCTCCAGAGACATCCGACCCAGAACTAGCAGTGGCGAGGAGACTGAAAAGTAGGTCTGTGTCAGGAACCGGGGTGGGCGGGACACGGTGACTCTTGCACTATAGTCATCTAGAAGGCATATTCCCCACTGACACAGATCACACAGGACGAAAATGTAATGACGGAATTAAATGCCTGACGATGAAACTACAGATTGACAATCAGAAACCGAATCTCCATATTCTGTCTATCCACTGGGGCTCAGATATTGAATCTGATATTCAGACTATCCACTGACGATGGTGTATTGAATCCCCATATTCAGATAATGCATTGACGATGTTGAATGGTGAGACTGAAGCGCGTGGCAGATTCTCGTAGTACTCCTGTATCTATGGTAGATCTTACTATGACTTGGTCACGAACGTAATAAATAATGAAGAAGTAAGACAAAACACGGATATCGCCATTCTACTACTGGAAATAGAACTGAACGTGACCCAATGAATAATGACGAGTGAAGATCCGGGATTGAATAGGTCTTCAGCAACCCATGCTTGCCGTAAAAGGCGAATTTGTTTGTCGTAAGAGGCGACTAACGGGATCGGTTGGTCAGGCTCGCAGACTTGGTTGAAGCATTTCATTAATCCCAATTGCGTGGATCGATGCTCATGATGTCAATCACTGGATTGTCTGGTGTGTGTGTGTGTGTGTGTGTGTGTGTGTGCGTGCGTGTGTGTGTGTGCGTTTGTTTGTGTGTGTGCGTGCGTGAGTGTGGTGTAGTGGGTTTTTGTGTGTGTGTGTGTGGATATCCTGTGATCATGATTTCGAATGCCGTGTTCATGATTTCTAATGCTGTGTTCATGAGTTCGACGTATCCCAATTGCGTGGATCGATGCTTATGATGTCAATCACTGGATTGTCTGGTCCAGACTCGTTTATTTACAGATCGCCGTGATATAGCTGGAATATTGCTGAGTGCGGCGTTAAACAACAAACAAACAAACAAACAAATCATGAATTCGAATACTCTGGGTTTGTCAGCACCTTACTCCTGCACGTCGGTTTTCTCAGTGGTATATGTCTACCACCCGCATCACTCCGTGAGATAACGGAACTACTGTCCAACTCACTGACCTTATCTCGCTCCGTGGTCGTGTGGACAGAGCGTCTGCCCGGGCAGCGGGTATTCGGGGAATCGATCCTCCGCCGCGTCATACCAAAAGAGGTTAACAGATGGTTCCCTGCCTGGCCCTCATCATTAACGGGATAAAACTGGTCGGGGTATTCATTGCGGCGTGGTATCTCAGCTGTCTGGCACTTTAAACCGGCATTAAACCGGGAGTGGCAGTCAGCCTGACATTTGTTGGTGTACAGGTGCAGGGACACATGTCCCCGAGTGACAGCAGGACAAGTCGTGGGGGTAGGGGGTGGGCTGACATGTGCTGGGGTACAGGTGCAGAGATATGCACCCCAGTGACAGAAGTACAACACAGAGGGGCTTGTGTTTGGATACAGATGTAGCGAGACAGCCAGACAACACAGAGAGGGCAGACGTTTGTCGATCGATCAGATTGACTATTTCATCAATACGTCCTTTCATTCACCAAGTCGCTGTACTCAGCAAGTGAGTGTATTAATGGATTGTCAGCGGATTCATCGTCAATCGCGCGTTAGACAGTTTCTCAATACCCCCATATTCAGGAGCTTAGCTGCACGTATTGCCCACTCTACTGGGCCAGCAGCTCAATACAGCTAATGAGGAGAACTGGCTAAACACACAGGCCTGTTTAAGTTAGACCCAGTTTCTGTTAGAAACGAGACCCTGCTCTAGACAGTTAGACCAAAGATACTACTGCAGTCAAACCAGAAACCTTTTTTCAGTTATACCAGCTGTGCTATGTCAGTTTGATCCTGCTTCCGTGACGACCAGGGCCTAGATTTTCGAAACGACCATAGCCCTAAAATTATCGTAAATTTATCGTAAGGAAATCGTAGGCTATCGTAGCATATTTTCGAAACTATCGTAGCCCTAAGGTATCTTAAGATTGTCGTAAATCTAAGATAGCCCCATACCCGTCGTAAGTTTATCTTATCTTCATCCAAGATGGCGGCATACTTTTCCATAGATATTTTGCCAAACAATTAGTCTGCTTTACGTTCAAACATTGACATTTCATTTTGTAAAACTGAGTGATTCAAATTGACACTTCCAAAACGCGAAGAACGCATCAAGGATTTCACGTTAGACAAGAGATATTATTTCGGTTAGTATATATATCCTACTTCAGTTAAACCAGAAGCCCTTTTTAGTTATATCAGATATATCTTACTTCAATTAGGCCAGATATCCTACTTCAGCTAGACCAGATATCTTGCGATAGTTAGACCAGAGATCCTACTTCAGTTTGTGGTCAGTTGTGTCGCTTGGTAAAAGAATATGATTACTTGCAGTTGAATGGCGTGATTTAACGTCGCCACATCGCGGAAACTGAAACAATGGTAATCAGTCCCTAGCTACAGAGATGATTAATTAACGCCATCATCAAAAGGATCCGGTTCCCCGTCGGGATGAACTAGATATCCTAAACCCTAAATAACCCGTCTCGTCTTGTAGTCGGTGAGCTAACGACGCCAATCTGGCGGCGTAACGTTACATTATTAGAATACTGACTACAATTAAATCTGCTCTGGTCACATTGATTATGTTATTTTACAATTAACATGTCGTAATGACGTCCATAATTGCTTTTGTAGTTTAAACTGTAACACTTTGGGAGCCTGACACAAATGACGGTTGTGTGAGGTGTCACCAAAAAAAACGCTTGCCTGTGTGTAGGATTTCTTTGTGATGGCTTAACAATGCAATATTAAAGTACAGGAGTACGGAACTATGGCTTATGTTTATTGTCAGACAATGTTGAAGTGCTAACGTTGTGTGAAATAGGCCTGATATGTCATCGTGAGCTTTTGCATTAGACACAACCTATTCCGCATGTGGTACGCAAGTTATTGTGCGTCAAACAACTTTAGTTAACAAAGTCCCCCCTGTATCAATTGCAGTAAATATGTAGTTAACGTGGCGTCCTGCCTGAAGAAACGGCAGTAAAAAGGACATCCTGCCTGTAGAAACTGCAGTAAAAAGGACATCCTGTCTGTAGCAGATGCAGTAAACCTGACGTTCTGCCTGTAGCAGATGCAGTAAAACTGACGTTCTGTCTGCAGCAGATGCAGTAAACCTGACGTTCTGACTGTAGCAGATGCAGTTAACACGTCATGTCTGTAGCAGATGCAGTAAATTTGACGTTCTGCCTGTAGCAGATGCAGTTATAACGTCATGTCTGTAGCAGATGTAGTAAACCTGACGTTCTGACTGTAGCAGATGCAGTTAACACGTCATGTCTGTAGCAGATGCAGTAAACCTGACGTTCTGCCTTTAGCAGATGCAGTTACCCTGACGTTCTGCCTGTAGCAGATGCAGTAAACCGGACGTTCGGACTGTAGCAGATGCAGTTAACACGTCATGTCTGTAGCAGATGCAGTTAAACTGACGTCCTGCCTGTAGCAGATGCAGTAAACCTGACGTTCTGCCTGTAACAGATGCAGTAAACCTGACGTCCTGCCTGTAGCAGATGCAGTAAACCTGACGTCCTGTCTGTAGCAGATGCAGTAAACCTGACGTTCTGCCTGTAACAGATGCAGTAAACCTGACGTCCT